AGATGAGAAACATTAGATTGTCTTAAGGAAAACTCACACACTGTACACATCCTGAAAAAATCCAGGCTAAAGTTTACTGTACTTTTATCGTTGTTATGCACCTTCTCACATATTCACGTGACTCTAGCTATTGAACAAAAATTGCCTCTTATATGTTAAACTGAGTGTTATCCTTTATGGCACACTTGCGTTCCCTTAGGGTGGCTGCAGGGTGATCACTTAGGGTTACCTGATGCTCTAAGATGGTGCGGGATCAAAGTCAAGACTCAGCATTTTGGACAAAGATCTGATGGATTATTAAAAAGTTGGTAACCTAATCACTATGCATCTGGATGGGAAAAGGATAGCGTAGAACTTTTTTAAAATGCATGTTTTTAAAGATAATGTCAAACTAATCAGTGCTAAATTATTCCACGGAGCATTGCCTTAAATAGCTAACGGGTCTATGCTATTGTTCATGAGGATCCATCCCAATGCATAAAAACGATGGGAGATTTATTTGGCATGTCAATTCCAAGTAACTCAAAGCAGATCTCAGCTGGCCATCGAGAAAGTTTAGTTTTGCATTTCTGCTAATTATGGTTTTCATACATATCCAAACTTTTAGCTTTAAATCTTTTGCATATTATTTTTCATCTTTCTTTAGTTTGTCAATGCAATGAAAACAAATAAATATAAATGGAAGCTCCTTTGTAAAGAGATTTGTTACAAGTCAATTTCTTTTAAATATAGTCATCTTTTTCCTGTTTTATAGGCTATAACATATAACAAAAGCCCCAAAATATAATTCAAGAGGGACAAGATAGTCTCAATTAGCAAAACATCTGAATTATTGCTTACTCGTAAAAATTCTTAGCGGGCAGCGACCTAAGCACGCCGTGCGGGAACGCCTGCCTTAGACCGTGCTAACCAGCGACGGGCAGGCTCCGCGGGTGACCACGTTCCGGCCCATCTTCCGTCACATTTGTTAACAGTGGACAGATTATTTCCTTTCCCGGTGCCATATCCTGTTCCCACTTCACTGAGTGTGCATGAAAAGCCATTTAAGATTACACAACCCATAAAAATTCAAGACAACATTTTTAATCTTTGACAGGACACCAGCTTCTACGGATCTGATTTGCCTGCTGTCCACGGCAGGTATTATCGAATCCAACAACTTCCCCTTTTCTGGAGAACTAAATTAAAATGTGCCAGAGGTGCCACCTTTACTACAGTAAAAGAGTAAGTACGAATCGAGAAAGCACTGTTTTTCTAGAGATAAACGCATGTGTAACTTTGCACAGAGAGTCCATTTCTAGGTCCCTGGCATTCTGAGTTTGCCAGTCGCTGGGTCAGGAGGCTGGAGCTGGGCTCTCTCTGCCTACCCAGACAGAGAGCATGCGCCATCCTCTCCACAAACCTGGTTTGCATTTTACGGTGCCCTGTTAACCTGTTTTAAATACCGGTTGATGGGTCCTCTGACAAACACACCGAAACGTGATCCAAACAGTGAGAACTTGTTCTGATTACCAAATTGTGGGACGATGGAGCCACGACATTTGTGATTTATTGTCACGTTTCATTTCCTGGCACTCACGTTAGTGACGAGGCGATCTCTGTTTATGTGCATTATGAGAACAATCCCTTCCCGCGGATGTCTAAGGCTGTGTTTATTTCTGTATAATAACTTCAGCGCTGCGAGCCCAGCTAGGCTTACTAGGCTGCGCCGCATTGTTCAGAGCACGTGTTACGCAGAATTCCTTGCTTTTGTTTTAATCGTGAAATAAAGACAGAAAATAGTTGTTTTCTCTACTAATTTTTCAAAGCACATGAACACAGTTGATAGTCACAAGGCAGAGTAGAAGATTATGGGAACAGTTTATGGTGTCAGAAAAGCTGGTTCAAATCCTGGCTCTCTCACTTACTAGATGTGTCATAACAGACCACATCCTGAACATTCTAAACTTTTCTAAGCCTCAGTCTTCATCTAGAAAATGGAGATAATAAGAATATACGTGATATAGAATTTGTCTTGGGAAACGAATACAGGTAAAACAATTAAAATACCTGGCATGTATTATACCTCAATAAATGTTATTCTAATAAATGTTATTCTAATAATGATTATTTTTATTCATAAGTGATGGTATAGGATACGTATTCTTTAAGTCAGTATTGATTTTTTTTAAGTTCTTATTTGCACATTAATCTAAATAGTTCCATTTAACCTTTTCATCTAAGGATCTTACAAAGCTGATCCCTCAAATTTTCTTTTAAGTGGAATAGACATAGTACATCCTTTCAGGTTAGTTCCAAGATTTTGGAAAAAAAAAAAAAAAAGGATACCCAGTTAAACTTGAATTTCAGATAAACAAGAAATAATTTTTTCAGTATGAGTATGTCCCAAATATTGCAAGGGATATGCTTATACTAAAAACTTACTCCTTGTTTATTCTAAATTCATATTTAACTGGGCGCCTTGTGTTTTATCTGACAACTCAATTTCACATTGCCATGAAGAACTAACCCATGGGTAGTTTGTAGAAAGAAGAGTTTGTCTACAGGAGATCTTAGCAAAAACAAAATTCACTTGCTATAAATGATTGAAAACTCTTAATTGCCCTAAAAATATCAATTAAATTTAGCAATCTCTTTTGAGTCAGGGAAAGAATAAAAATGTAAAGAGGTTTATAAAAGAATGAATACCAAAAAAAGGATCCTTAGCAGAGTAAATCTTTTCACTTAAAACAGAAAATAAAAAAGCCCAATTTTGAATGTGTCTCTTTGAAGAACCTTCATATCATTCTAGATGTAAAATTAGAGTAAGAGAATGAAAGCACAGCCTTTTCCACTCATTTTAACAGATATTCATTTCCTTTGATGTTGCACTTTTGAAGGTCTTCATATCAAGAAACATGTTGCAATTAGCTAGGGTCAATTACCACTCACTTTTTTAGATCTAATATGGTGCTATGAGAATATTTCATAACAAATCTCTGGAATAAATTTAAAATTAAGATCAGCCCTCATTAGTTGTAAGAAAAATAAGCTCCATAATCAATGTTTCAGAGAAAAGAGCAAAAACTGACATGAAAATTTCACTGTAAAAGTATTAGAATTTGAGTGGAAGCTTAACACATTTAAAATTATCATTGTGAAGGTATTCAGCTAATCACACAGTTTCACCATTGCAAGGAAACATTAAAATGTATAACTGTTTTCTGCAAATATTTATTTGCCACTATGTACAAAATTAATGTTTTTAGGAGCTGAAGTTTAAGATTGCTAAATGTAAATTTTAACCACAATGAATTCTGATACCAGGCATAAAACAAACAAACCTTAAAAGAAATGTAAGTCTCTTTTTGCCCAGTAAACATACAATGGGATTCAGAATTTTATCTCTAAAATGGATCAGACTTTTTTAAGTTGGAATATTTTGCTTAATTTTTCTGACTTGGTCTTGGAATTGATAATGGTGACACCAAACTTTAGCAAACAAATCTTTTATATCTTTTGACAGATCCCCACGAATGCAACCCTTAACCATAGACACGGGTCTGTAACTCATTTAGCATCTTCCTAAGTTAAAATCACAGACATAAAATTCCATGCTCTAGTGAGATGGATCTTACCTTCTGGCTGATATATGTTCTCACGAAGGCCCGCTACTTTAGCTCTCTCCTTAAAACAACTCCCCATTTGCAGAAGAAAAAAAATGTTTCCAGCTTGCTTCTTAAACTAATAGAAATTGCCATGGCTCTATTTTATTTTGTGTCTTTGAAAGAATACTCTCAAAGTGGAAAATACGCGTCTAAAACAGACAGCATCCATCTTTGAAAGCTGTTACTTGCAGCTTTGAAAGCTGTTACTTGCAGCTGAAATACATAAAGACGAACTTCACCTGTAGGTCATTTAGAACTTTCGTTGCTTATATTTTGAAGCAATTCACAAATAAAACAGACACATCCTACTGGTCTACTGAACATGACAACTGCAAAGATTAACTACAGTATCTCGTAAATGGCAACTGATCAAGTTTCAGTAGGAGAAACTGAGGCACAAAAGTTTGAAGGACTACAGAGAGAAGTCAAGTGAGCTTCATTTCTTTCTGCCGCCCGTGATTGGTGATTCTCAACTCCTGTTTTCTCATCGAGTAAAACTAAAGTAATCTTAACATAAATTAGAAACTGCTGCTACATCGTAAAATTTACTTCTTTTTATCTGTTAAGTAATAGCAAGGAACTATATAATAGTGCCAAGATTAATTGCTAATTTTATGTGTTACAACAGTAAAAGAATTAGGAGTAGGGACACAAAATAAATGTGCGTTGAATGGATGGCAATTGATCTGTGTAGTTAAGACGTTTAAAATCAGCCAGGAGAGTGAAGACAGAAAATCAAACGAAACTAAACGTCACGTGTGACCAATATAATAAGCTGATACAGAATTTACCAAAAGGAGTTGTTTTTATTACTTCTTGGAAAATACCCCTGTTCTTGAGTTTTTTTCTAGATCCTAAACAATGTTAGACTATGGGCCTTTTAAAATAACTGGGACCTGTAAAAGTGTAAGTGTTATTAATGGCATTAAACCTATATTTTAATAGGTGCATACATATTTCATATATGAACATGTAACACAATATATTATAAACAAGAAAAGATAATTGAATTTTATTGTGATTATTGATATCAATTCCCAGGAAAAGCCATCTAAGCAATCAAGAAATTCGAAGCAAATGCTCTGTAATGAAAGTTAACGATGGACTTTATAATATGCACATTTCTCATATCAATGTTGAAGTCCATAAAAATAGCTGTATTGGTTTCATGTGTAAATATTTAACACAAATACATCTGTGTGCTTCTATTTTTATATAGTGGGTTTTAATATATATTGCCTTTGTTTATTTTAAATGTATTTATTTAAGTTCAATTGTAACAATTTTTGGTCAAAAATATCAAGCAATGAATTTCAAAGAATAATACATATTGCAAAATAGAATAATCCATATGGCAAAATTGTAAACTGCATATAAAGACTCCAAGAAGCTTCACATGAAATTTTTAAATTAAATACACTTAAAAAGATAATTGGACTAAATGCTGATATCTGGAGTGTAAGATTTCCTAATGTTAATTTACTTAACTTTCTTGCAGTAGGTATGCACACAGGAACACCACTTTTATATGCTCTCTAGAAGTAAAATAGTAACTGCAAGATATATCTGAATAGAACAAGGAGGCCATCTTGAGGCCATTCTAGAAATGTACATGTTGCCATTCTTACAAAGAGCTCAAACATAATTTGATTTAAAAAATAGATGCTTATAGCTAAATTAACACTTTCAATATAAAATGTTTTTTTCTTTAGAAAAACAAAAAGGCAAAGTTTATCAAGAGGATTTAAATTCACTTGAAAGTAGTCTCTCTCGCTGTCTCACACAGGCACACACACATGCAAACACACACGCAAACACACACGCAAAGACTACAAAGTTGTTTTTGCTGAATGATAAAATTTTAAAATTAGCATAGGACTGTACAAAACGTTTCAGCAGAACTATCTTAAATATTTTTCCATGGTAATAAAACAGAAACTTCATTAATCTACTGTATACGTATTTTCCCCTCCTACTTCTAGAAAAATAGACCAGAAAATATAAGTTTTTGAGATGCCATTTACATCTCTTCCTATGTACTCTGAGCTAACGCTGGACTTGCAGGACCATTGGCGGAATGTTCCGGTCCCTCAGTGCCGCTGGTGGGTTCAGAGCCTTCGGCCTCCGTGTTCCCTTCGTAGACCTTCTCCGGGGCATCGAGTGGACTCACGCAATTGGCATCCTGCTTTACTTTGTCCACCTCATTATCATATTCAATTTTGTCTTCCTGCTTGTTGCTTTTCTTTACTTGTCCATTCTGGGCAGGGTAGGTGCTAGCAATGACATCATACAGGAATTGGTATTGCTCCTAGTAGAGGAAAGAAGTGAGAAATTATAATAAATAAAGTTGATAAAATTATTATTTTTTTGCCAGATAAAAATTAACAAGAACTAATAATTTATTTGTGGAAGTCCTGGATGGCAGAAAAGTACTCTGAAATGCTCTCATGAACAGCATTCTAAGTGGCTTCGTTTCTTTCCAGTTCTAAAGGATTGACAGTGGGGTACGTTTCAAACTTGACTTTCAAACTTTTCAAACACCCTGAACTACTGTTCATTCCCCCGACAGGCCGTTCCCACGCCTTTGCCCAGGATGCCGCTTTCTGTGCGTGTCCCCTTGGCCGATGCCTACACGTCATTTGATAATCAGAGCAGGAATCACCACTGTACAAAGCCTGCCCTGATCCCCGTAGGGTCAATTCAACGCCCTCATTTATGTTCTTCTTCTAATTTCTGTCACAGGATAGATTGATTACAAAAACAGAACACTTACTGTCCTCCCTGTGCCCACATTTCTTTGCAAGGTGACCTTGCAGCTCCCTTCAGCGTGAAGTGGAGTCTGTTTCTCTACTTTTCGAATCTGGACTGGCCTTGGGACTTGTTAGGCTAATAAAACACAGCGGAAGGCGTGTTGTGTCCTTCAAGCTGGGCCTCAAGCACGTCTCACACAGACTGTTCTCTCTCTTGAAACTGCCACTTTCACGAGAATAAGCCCAGGCTCGTCTTCTGGATGAGAAGAGACCCACTTGCCCCTGTGGTCACAGCCGCACGGCAGCCGACTGCCAGATACCGCAGCCGAGGTCATTTCAGACCAGTCAGAGCCCAGCAGACACGTGAGCCAGCCTGGTCCCCACGGGCTGAGCCTGACGACATCAGTAGAACAATCCAGCAGATCACTAGACTGTTAAACTATAACTAATGTATTTGTTTAGGCCACTAGATTTGGGGCTGCCTTGTTACACAGCACAACTAATTGATACAGAATTAAGGAAGAGAAATTAAGAAATTCATGAGCATTTAAGGAAATAACACTTCATGAACTGTCACCACAGATCACTGGCAAACTCTAAATTAGGTCTATTATTTATATTGGTAATAATTCAATGTGAATTATCACGTAAAAATGGAAGAGAAAATAGAAGAGAAGGAAAGGAAGGGAAAGGGAAAAATATCAAAGGAAAGGAAAAGAGAGGAGAAGAAAAGAAAGAACACCATCAAAATGAAAATCCAGAGCATGTCAGAAGCAGTGGCGAAGTGTACGTACAAACGTGGAGACCATCCCCGGCCTCGCTTTGCGTAGAGATTTTACTACTTGAAAAACATCCACCACCTCTTCTGTCTCTGCGCTTTCCAGGAGATTTAGCAAAGCACAAACTATTCCTGTTTGCTGAGATCCATCTCTATAAAAGGAAGAAAAGATAAAAAAAGAAAATAATTGTTCTTTACTAAAAATGGTGATATTACAATAAAAACAGAAAGGGAATATATTTTTACTTCATGTTTATTACCATTATTTTATTCCAATCTTTCTTAGGAGCCAAATTATTTATGCTAAATACAATTTTTAGGCAAACTTTTTCAGTTTTAGGCTACAATAATCCTGTAGTTTAAAAAGAATCTGTCATAGGCTTTAAAAATACACTTCTATTTAGTATTTTACAGATTTTGATGCATTTTTATTTATAGCTGAAGTTGTTAGAACCAGTATCATATCACCAATTTGATAGGTGAGGAAACCAAGATTTAGGGAATACAAAGGCATAGCTAAAAACTGATGGACCCAGAAATATCAGACCTTGCATTTTGTAAATTCCTAGACCACATGCGTCTTCTTCTCTTTTCTGCCTTTTACCATGTTTTACAAATGTTTCCATTTCTACCTTAGTAGAAAACTGATACCTGGTGGAATTATTCATTGAAAAGAGGCCAAACAAATAATTTACCAACTATGAGAGCCATAAAACATTATGACAAATATTCAATTTAAACGACGTGTTATCAGCAGGACATGTTATTGTGAGTAACTAAGAGACCTACTGTAGGCATTCAACCATATCCTAAGGAACACATATAGTTTTAAAGCTTAAACTTCCCTTCGTTAGCTTTCTTTCCACACAAATTTCACCTGTGAAATTTCAAATCAATGCTGCAAAGTAGTATATCTCTAAGGGCTTGATTCTAGTATACGCAATTCCAATACTAATGATGAGGGATTTTCAAAAATCCTAAAAACATTTCACTAGATTTCAATTTCTCATTTTATTTTACTGTTTTTCATTTCTCGTTTACTTCAATATACTTTTTCATGTAAACTTTTTATATTATGCATCCTTCTTTCAATATCACTTATTTAGGGTGTATCTATAGACGTAAATTTAAGTGTCTGCATAACAGAAACTAATAAAATCAAGAATTACTTATATTATTACAATCTTTGCCTTCTGTATCAGTTTAGAGGATCAAATGATGGGTTTCACATTGAAGTTGCTAAGCATTGAGATTTCCCCTAATATTTAACTTATGTTTACTGACAGCAAAACATGCAGTCCTCTTAATCCTGTGATACTCAATAGAGTGGTTCAACACATGTAAGTTTATATTTAATGTAATATACGTCTACCTGTCCACTCACATGACCTTCCATTCACTAATTCATTCAGGACAAATGGCATTCCTTGTTCTATGTTAGGTACTAGGGAGTCAAAGATGACAGGACACCAGGTGTTAAGGAACACAGCCTAAAATTATCACACTGTACTAATTTCTATTATGTTTCTGTGATAGTCATGCTGTGGAAACATAGCTGACAGAGTGACCGATGCCACACAAGGTTCACCCTGTGGCTGTGTGTTGTATATATCAGAATAAATACAATTGAAGAGGAAATGGGATCCAGGAAGTCGAGCACTGTGATGACTTTTAGAGCATTTCCTCACAATCCCACCCACCGGCAGTGAATGAGGAGAGGCGCGCTCCTGTGATACTTATTCCCTTCAGAGGAATTCTTCTTGGGAAGTTTTTGTTTGAGGGTCTGAATCATAGAGACTAATTCTTTGGGTTCCGCAGGAAGCTGTTCCATGTTCCAGTTGGTATATTGGTACTGGTGCACGGTGCGAGGGTCTTTTCTCTGAAATCGGAAGGGAAGGGAGTATTAGCTCTAGTGAAGTTCAGCCTATTTTATAATCCGAGAGTCATGTTTTCTTCACAATTACTTTTATTTAAATAATTTAAAAGTTTTACCCTCAAACATTATATAGATGGTGGCTTTGCTTACATAGAGTGATTTATATTAATTTTGCTATCAGATCAATTACATCAATGATATACACTCCTGAAGTTGTTTCTATACCTTGGAATGTCTCAGTTCAAAGACACGGAGGGTATAAGCTGAAGATTTGTTTGTGTCTTTAAGGTCAACTTCTATCTCTCCATATGTTTGCTTTCCTTCTCCCCAGTACTGAGCACAGATTTCCTGGATAAAAAAGAAGAAGGTTCAACAACTTCTGCACAAATGTTCCGTTTACTACGTATAGTATTCACACAATCTCTCTCCCTCTCTCTCTCTCTCGCTCCTTCTCTGTCTCCCCCACACACTTCCTTCTTTTCTATTAAGTGGAAATTATTGTGTTCTAAAATTGAGATATGACCACCAAATCCAAAATTGAAGACTCATTTAACAAATATGTGTATTTCCTTGTGCAAACAAAGGCAACCTGAGGTGGCAAGTGGCCGGGACACCCCGGGAACAGCTCTGTCCCCCCTGGTGTGGGTCTTTGAGATTTATTCCTCCTTTCCATACCCTTATCGTCACCCCCTCAAAATCTGTAGCGGACAGGAACTGTGTCGGTCACAACCCCTCCAATAATAACCCAGGTCCCACTGCCCTCCACTGCGCCTTGAGGAAGGAGGCTGCGTCTTTTGGAGTTGTGACTCTGTCTACTGTTGACCAACCACGACCAGCTCTATGTATGTTAACTGAATATCTAAGTAAGGGGCCGGTCTGAAGAGTATGTGAATCGCAAAAGAGTTTCTTCTCTCTGCAAACTGTTGTCCACCAACCACATTCCCACAATTGCTGGCAATGACAGGCATTCCTATCTGCACTTCCATTCTATTTCCTGGCTTTCATGATTTATATGAAGGAAAAGATGACTGGAGTTCATCTATATGTTCCAAATTCTGAACATATATTCCTTTTTTAAAGAAGAGAAAAACACGTAAAAATAAAAAACAACTTTCTACATACAGAGGAAGTGGATCGGGGTGGGGGGAGGGGGAGGGAGAGAGACAGACAGACATAATAAATCATAAATCTATTGCATGCTTATGAGGTTATTCACTGAATAAGCTTTAACGTGTCAGATAATACAGTAGGTGCTAAAACCAAGTAAGATCTACACACCAGGGAAATTTTAATAATAACTCAAGGTATTAAGGAAAGAATCAAATAAGTGTTACAGTCATTAAGTAAAAGACCAAATTATATCTTAGATTCTCCTCCAACTATAGAATTTTATGGTAATAAATATTCCATTAGAATAAAGAAGGAGGGATACAGATAAAGTTTTCAAGAGTTTTGTCTTGTTAAAAGAATAGGGTCAAAATGGAAAGAGGGCACATTTAGTTATAGGGAACATCAACAAAATTATGATTCAGTTCAGTGACAAGAATGTAAATGATATATTAAGTCTCAGTCAGTAAACCTGCTTGTCCAGAACGGAGAGCACGGAAAACATAAAAATGGGAGGAAGATGAAAAGATACATGAGGGGCTGATTGTGGAGGGTCTTAACTGTCACACAAGTTTGTTTTTACTCTTGAGGAAGACAGAGTGACAATGTAGCTGTTGTAGCTGTTGTTTGTTTGCTGTGACACCGGCGTTGCTGTGGCCCAGACAACCTGTGAGCAGCATGGAGAGGGACGGACGCGAGAGACAGTGAGATCCCAGACACAGCGGGGGAGGCCAACGCGGGAATGAAAGGGCTGAGACGGAACAAATGGAATTGTGTGATGAGGGTCAGAAAGACGTGGGCTCAGCGATCAGGCAAGCGATCCAGGAATAGAGCGTGATATTTTATGACATGAAGACTTTTAAAAAAAGATTCTCAAAAGTACAAACCTGGCCTCCCTGCTCTAACTCCGTCAGCATAACAATCACTTTGACTTTTCTTTGGAAGATCATCTGCCAAAAATCACTAACGGTTTCTTTTAGTGGTCCCTGGGCAGCAATCATCACTTCAGGCTTCCAGTAACTCTTAAAGAAGAAGAAGAAAAAAAAGGGTGGCACTTTGTTATTCCTGCTAACTGAAGAGAGTACCATGGATTCTTAAATAACCACGTGGAAATATAGTTACTCAGTTTGATGTCGATGTTGTTACATAAAAGTATTAAGATTCTTAGGTCTGAGAAACAATGTAATATCTACGTGTAAAACACTTACTCAGATAATGGTAAGTCTTAGCTAATAATGTCAAATAAAGATTAGAACATACTATCTTACAAAATGAACAAGTGTTCTCTTCCAAAAATTACTTTTTTCTCTATAAAGGTTAGTCTGATTCTAGTGATTATAAAAAGGAATTTCCTATTGGGTACAATGCACACTACCTAGGTGATAGGTACAGTACAAGCACAGACTTTACCACTCTACAATATATACATGTGATGGAATTCGACTGGTATCCCCTAAATCTACAGAATTTTTTTCTTAAAAAGGAATTATGTAAACATTTTAAATTACCCTCAGCCTGCCTTTATATTAATTGGTGTCTACACGCTGATATTATAACTTACAATTAAACCAATATTCTATGAAAGTGTGTTTTAAGAAAATTTGGGATAGAAATAAATCCGACTTAGTGTATATGCAGTAAGTATTTACTGAATGACTAAAGTTGCTTTATTTGAATTCTCACTTTATTAAAAAGAAAGGTATGTGGCACAGATTCACTTAAGAATTCAGTTAATCTGAATGAAAAGTTTCTAACTATACAAATATACAAATTTGGCTTTGTTTACAACTTGGGTATCTATGTATAAACATTTTCAGATACATTTGTTCAAATTTTGTTATTTTAAAAATCATTATGATGACAGTCAGATGAGTCATAAAACATAACCAAGAGCATTGTCTTACATTGTATCAGCTCGTTCGGTTTTAATATTTTAAATCTTTCAATAAGTTAAAATATAGCATTAAAAATTGAAACTTTCATGGTCAATCACTATGCAGTTAAGGACCAAACTCATCGTTTTTTATAAAATCACTTAGTAAAAGGCCCTAACAACATCGACATGTTTTCAAAAGGGTTGGGTCCTGAGTGCTGGAGATTCGGGCACCCACCATGATGAAGGAGGCGTTGATGTACTTGCTTGTCTCCTCGGTGTCACTGTCATCCTCCGAGGATTCATCAGAGTCATGCTCGCTCTCCTTGCTCATCTCCAGTTCGTGTCTCAGTGGCACTCTGTTACAGTCATCTGCGTAAGATAGACTCGCAGTAAGTCTTCCTTTAAAACACCAAGTTTCTGCTTCATTGTCAAGTGGAAAGTAAAAAGTATTTCAAAGGGGACAGATGGTATTATGTAAATTTATTGATCTAAATGAAATGAGATCCTACATAAAATTCAGTACTCCCTGATTAAGAAATTATTTTTTAAAAAGTCTAAGAAAAAGAAGTTCCCAAAAGGGTTCCAGCAAAAAACACAGGACATAACTCTATGTTAAGCAACAAATAGATACAATGTTCCATATAGTTATTTAATCTTTGATACATATACTTTAGTTTTCTGTAGAATATCATAATTCTGCTTGATCTCATTTAAAAAATACATAGCTTAGATTGTTTCCTAATTATATCTTATTAACATTAACAGTCTTAAATTGGTATCTCAGATTAATTATTAATTAGTCCAAAATTATTTGGTTCATAATGTCTCGCTGTTTCTAAATTTCATTAATTTATAATATCCTGATCAAATGATCTGATTAACTACATCACCGTCAATTCCGTATCTTAAACTGTATTCATAAGGACTTCTACAGAAATTAGCTAGGTCAACCATGCACTGATCTGATTTATTTGGTTGTCTAGTTTATTAGCTTGGGTTATACTTTATTCACACTAATTTTAGTGTATGCAGCTGAATAAAATTAGAGTTGTACCAGATGTAATCATATCAATATGCTTAAATAGTAGAATTTAAGTCTTGGAAACTACATATTTTGAGCTGTTAAATTTGATGATTGATAGTTCATAGAATATTTTCCCCCTACTTTCAACCTCCCAGCTATAAGGGATGAAAAGAAAATATGAAGTGAACAAATGGATGTAATTTTTTGCTATTTGGCAACTTCCTGGAGTAAACACCAGAAATAAACTAAAATTAAGAGAGAACTGGTAAAAAGAGACTTGATTTTTCTCTCTCAGCTTCAGAGGTTTCATCTTTCTGACAACACATTTCTGGGATAATTGGTAGAAAGAAAACACTGAATATAGTCTATCCTCCAAAGTCCATTGTAAGTGGTTCCAAGAAGGGTTCTAAATATTTTCTATAAGTAAAATTTAAATAACCTATTAACTTCTTCTCTACCATCAACCAAATGTTTAAAACTTGCTTCAAGATCAATTGTGTGTATGTCTGTGTGTGTGTGAGTGTGTGTGTCTCACATTAAACAAATCCAAGAGAGGTTAACTTCATCTGATATAAGAATAAAGTAAAATAAACTACATACATGGGATGACATTAGAATTCCTGTTTTTGTTTTTATTTTCTTCTTGATTTCCAATGTGCTGCGTCCTCCAGCTCCTGTATGAAGGAAGTCTCTGAGAAAAAAAATTAGGACAGAAAACTCCTTTAAAATGTAAATATTGGCTTAGTTTATTATTGTGCCATAAGATGTTCCCTAAAGAAAAACATTTCATTAATTTTGGGTAAATTTGCATATACTCCTTAGAACTCACAGTTTTTAGTTTGCCTCTGAATTTTTCCTTTCAATTGCTCAGATATTTAGTACTTTGAATATGGTAAGTTTGAACTAAAAAGATGTAATTATATAAGAGAATGTGCCTCCTTTCTAAGAGCTGCTTGATAGCAAAGCAGTATAGTTAGTTCTCGCATAAGTTGAAAGCATGAAACTGATGTTGATTATTATCCATCTTGCAAAAGCAATGATAAATTATTCTAAATTATCAGAAATAAACTCTGCAGACACAGCATTCACAGAAGACTTGACACATGCTTCAAAAGTTGACACTTCATTCGTTTGCACCTTCCAGACTGCCTCCCTCTCATGGCAGCTGCTAATCAGTCAGCAGGATCTATCATTGCTGCTGCTGAAGCTCACACATCTTTCCACTTTTCCCTCCTCCTACTTAGTCCAGTCCAGCTTCACTTTTCACTTGGAAAACATCGACACTTACTTACCTTCAATCTTGCTTGCCCTAATCCTTCTAAAATGCAAAACAGAAGATCCCTCTGGCGATCTTCAGTAGCTTCCCATCACTGTTAGGAAGCAGCAAACCTCCTCAGTGTAGCATAAAAAATCTTTACGGACACGCTCCTGACGTCTCTCCAGCCTCCTCCCTACGAGCCAAACTTCGTCCACACTTCAGCTCAAGCAACTTCCTCAATTCTTGGAAAGGCCAAGCTGTTTTTAACTCTCGTCCGGACAAACGTGCTTTTTCTGCCTGAACTACCCTCCCCCCTTTCGGCCACTCTGATGACTTTCTTACCCTTTAGGTATCAGTTTAAATGTCAGTTTCCTCTGGAAGACTTCCCTGCCTAAAGTTTTCTCTTTCCACCAGTCCTTAAATAACTATTTGTCAAGTGAATAATATTTAATAGGAATAATTCTTAATATTCAATATTATGAATAACTTAAACTGAGAAAAGCTCCTCATGTGCAATTCAGTAAGATTTTATACACACACGGAGATGCATGTACATGTGTATGTATCTGTACACACACACATATTTTTTCAATATGGTACCCACTTTCAACACATGGCATCCTATCTCGAACCCCATTTATGTCCGTGTTATTGAATGAAAGGAAACATCACTGAATACCGGGGCGCTTGACCACACCATGAGCTGCTTGGAGGGTCAGATGCCTTGGAGAGCAACACAACACCTGTGCTCTCGTGACAGTGGCTACCCAGCAGCCTCTGCCTTGTAGACAGTACCCAGGGTTACAGGTAGAACTGATGGATCACCTTCGTCTAGGACACAAAGCATTTTCCCTCTTCAACCCCTGCTTGTTTCAACATGTCTAAGCCTCTCAGTGCATCCATCTTCCCCAGATTCCTAAATGATCAGCTATATCCTCAGATACAGCCCTGTCTCTTACATCTCCCCAATCACTGTCTTCCTCTCTGCCGTCGGATCCCCACGGTCTATCATCAGCAAATTCCCATCCATCTTTTGTTTCGTTTTTTTTTTTTTTTTTTTTTCAGCAAGTGAAACTTGGATGTCACTTGAGAACATCACCAAGAACACTGGTAGACCTTTTAAGAAAAAGCTCAATTTCCCCTCACTCCGTTTACCTTACAGCTTGAAGAAAAGGCATGTGTTCTCTTTGTTCACGCTTCTTGCAAACCATTTCTCCTTCAAAAAACCTAAATCTTAGATTTTCTTGCCATCTGTACCACCCTCTCTCCACTACCCTTCACTTGTAGGTGTCAGGTACCAACTTCTGGATTAGATTTGGCTAATCGCGTGCTCTTCTCCTCGAGGTCTGCCGTTGTCCTTGGTTACTCCAACACTGACAAGCGTGATCCATGCAGCACTCTAATCTCACCGCTGAGCTTCCCACCTCCCATGACCTTCCCTTCCACCCTTAGCCATCCACTTCCATCATTCTGCCTCTGTAGGTTTCATTCCAAATGTTGCGTCCCTTCTAAAATCATGATTTCGACCACCCGTTATTGAAAATTATCCGTATTCTTCCTAGTCATCTATTCTAGTACCTTCAAACTAGCCATCTACAAGTCCATCAAAATCTCCAACGTTTTGTCTTCACCACTTTCTCTCACATCCTCCAGGTGGTCACCTCCATAATCGTTCATTCGTAAACATCCTCAACTCCTTTGCCTCCCCACTTCCAGATAGTCACTTTCTAATCTAGGCAGGTTTAACCCACCTATCTGCATACACCACACCTATCCCGAGAGAGCTCAATGTCACTATAGAAAACAATACAACCAACTGACCGATTCCTCTCTAAATTCATGACCATAAATTTCAAGTCATCAAACAATAAATTCTGGCAGTCTTACTACCCTGGCCTGCAGAGATGGTTTTCTTATTTTGAGATAACTAGTTCATACTCTCCCCTTCCTCAAGCATAAAGCTCTTTGCCCAACTCACTACTATACCCCTCAACTCTCAACTGATAATATTGCATCATATTTTCTTGAGAAATGAAAGGCAAGAGCTGCTTCAACTTCCCATCACCAAATTCACCACCCAACTTGCATCTCTACCCTCATTTTCCACCTTCCTGTTTGCTTGGGTGAGATACCTTCACTGTTTCCACCAGGGTTAGAGCCATTATCTGCGATCTGGTTCACACTATCTCATGCTTTCTCCCCACGTCCATTTGCAAATCATTTTGACTCTTGTGCCTAGAATTGTGCTTGACACAAGGCAGAAATTCAATCATATTTGTTCAGTGAAAAAATACTCTCTTTTGGTGAATAAATATTCATTCATAAGAATGCTTAACTTGGCCGGGCGCAGTGGCTCATGCCTGTAATCCTAGCACTCTGGGAGGCCGAGGTGGGCGGATTGTTTGAGCTCAGGAGTTCGAGACCAGCCTGAGCAAGAGCGAGACCCTGTCTCTACTAAAAATAGAAAGAAATTAATTGGACAACTAAAAATACATAGAAAAAATTAGCCGGGCATGGTGGCGCATGCCTGTAGTCCCAGCTACTTGGGAGGCTGAGGCAGAAGGATTGCTTGAGCCCAGGAGTTTGAGGTTGCTGTGAGCTAGGCTGATGCCATGGCACTCTAGCCCGGGTAACACAGTGAGACTCTGTCTCAAAAAAAAAAAAAAAAAAAAAATGCTTAACTTTGACAACTGAGCAATTTGAGGATAGCTATGCCAACTCTCTGAAATCATACTTAACTATGTCCTAGGCTTGCTGTCAGAATAATTGCCTAATAAATAGGTTAGGACACATGTACTTACTTATCCTTTACTTTCTACCTACCAGCCCCAGCCAGTTCAACTTCCTGAGCAGTCATAAACTCCTCTAATTATTTCCTTTACAAACCAAAAACCAGACCCAGTTTGTAAAGGCGATATGCTACATTGCCTTTGGCAGACCAATGTATGCTATTGTTTTGACACTGTGTTTTATATCAGCTTAATGAGGAATGGTTAAGATTGTTAGTGGTAGAATCAGATTTCTGGGCTTAAAAAAATCTTCTGCATAATAGTTGTGGGAATTCAGGCATTTTTCTTAAACTCTCTTGTGTCCTAGTTTCCTTGTCTGTGCTCTGCTGGTTATGGTGTGGACCAAACACAAGAGCTACATCAAGTACAAAGCAAACAGCTGGAAAACAGACGGCACTAATAAAAATTACCTATAATTATTACTATTGCTATCACTATTATCACCTGGAATTCAGCCTCTACTGGAGACGGTTCACTGGGTGGGTCTCTTTTCTTCATGTTATGTAGATATGGATGTAATTCAGACAAGCTCACTTCTGTTTCTCCAAACTGATTGTATTCTACTAAGGCTTGATGGATCAAGATGTACTGTGCCTGTAATTTCAAAAAAAAAATACAGGTAATCAATTGAAAACTTAGAATCTTGTGAGTCACATTTAAATAAAATATACATTCCCATAATTTTGTTCATATTGGGATAAAGTATGGCATAATAAACTGATATATGTATAACATTTAAATATTCTGGAAGTTGGCTCCCAGAGTTTTCTGGAATATGAGCAAATTCCATTTCGGACCACTTTTTCAGGAAAAAAATAGCTTGACAAATAGATTATCCATGTACTGTATGTTGCACAGCTTTTTTTCTTATTCCTAAAAATTGCAAAAAAAATTGCCTGTTGCTTCCTTCAGTGATTACTGTTGAGTTGCTAAATCAAACTAATGAAATATAAAACTGTAGGGCCAGGCACGGTGGTTCACGTCTGTAATCCTAGCACTCTGCGAGGCCAAGGCCAGAGAATTGGTTGAGCTCAGGAGTTCCAGACCAGCCTGAGCAAGACTGAGACCAGTCTCTACTAAAAATAGAAAAATTAGCTGGGCATTGGGCATCGTTGCATGCACCTGTAGTCCCAGCTACTTGGGAGGCTGAGGCAGGAGGATCGCTTGAGCCCAGGAGTTTGACATTGTTGTGAGCTAAGATGACCCCAATGCACTCTACCCAGGGTGACAGAACAAGACTCTGTCTCAAAAAAAAAAAAAAAACCTGTAATAAATTTCTTAGTATATTTGAGAGAGAAAAAAGCAAGTTGCTATTCTACAGAATACATTTTTTAAAACTTTTCTAGAACACTTTAAAAGAGAAAATTATTTTTACAAAATAATCCAATATGCCAAACCCAGATTTAGCAACTCCTAACAATTTACCATATTTGAATGCAGTATTTTTAAGGAAATAGTATATTTCTGATAAGTTTCTTTACCTACTACCTCTTGTGTTCGCTTTGGCAGCACTTAGACTAAAATTAACTACCACTTCTAGTCCCCCCTGACTTTGGCTGTAGCCTTCCACTCTATTTTATTCCCCACAGGAAATAGTTTCTTTTTTCTGGTTTACAAACTGTTCTTATACTTCTGCACTCTTTATGGATATGTATGTATCTATAAATATATAAACATTATACAATTTGAGTTTTTTTAAAATATCCCACAAAATCATACCCTGTACATTTCATGTGGCCAGCATATTCACTCATCGTTTTCATCTGGATGTCTACCCAAATAGACACATACAGACCTAGATTATTTCTTTCAACTACAGCTTAGCATTTGTTGCACAGAGATTCCACATGTTCATACTCCGTTTGCCAATTCCCCTGTTGATATATACTGAGGGTGTTTCCATTCTCCTGTTTATATATATTCAACAATGTTTTGCTATTCTAATGATGCTGAATGCAACGAACGTTCTTGTACATGTTTCTAGCTATGCACATGTGCAAGTGCTTCTCATGGGCACATACATCCGTGCGATGTTTCCAGGTCAAGCACAGACATTTTCAATGATGACCATCACTTACAACTACTGAATGCATGGCATGTTTAAGGGACTTGTTTAAATGCTTTGTCTGAATTCCTCTTTTTGTTATAAATCTGTGAGAAAAGTACTATCACTACCTCCATTTTACAGATGACTTAATTGAAGCACAGAAAAAATTTTTTAAAAACTTGTCCAACAGTGCATAATAGTAGAGGCAGAATTTGAAACTTGGAAGCCCAGCTCCGAAAACCAGGCTCTTGACCACTCTACTATTCTGTCTCTTCAGTTTTAAATTTATGAGATGCCGCCAAATCTGTTTTCAGTGTTTTTATTTTTTCCCCCAATCTGGTGTGTGTAAATGGCATTGCATTATTTTCTTAAATTATATTTTAGGGTTAATCCTTCTTTCACAGTAATTTTAGGCACTAATGCAAAATACTTCTAACTATGGTGATTACCATGTCTTAGTTTTCAAGAAATTAAAAAAAAACAACTATTTCCATCCACTGTTTGAAGTTGAGAGGACTTTTTGGATTTCTGTTAAGATCATTGCTACCACCCCAAAAAGATGTCAGTGCAAACGCAGAGGTGAGAACGATCACTAAAGGTCAGAACAAACCTCCACTTGAACCATCAGGCATCTCTGCTGTCTCAGCTTGACCACGTAACCGTAGACGTCCACTTTGTTCTCAGCTTCCAGGCCTTCCAGCATGGCATCGATCCCAATGTAGGTGCCCGTGCGCCCAACGCCAGCACTGGCGAGACAAATAAAAACAGCGAGCGCATAAATATGGTGGGGAAATGAACGGAAACGCTGTCAAGGGGGAAGCAGAGATAAGAATGTAAGTTTCTGCTGTAGACTGGTTCCCAAAAGAGCAATTGCTACAGAAGAGAATGTCCCCGACAGCCCAGCGCAGGCATAGGATGCAAACAGGCTCGGTGCATGCTTCGGAGTCTTTGCTTACCTGCAGTGCACGACCACAGGACCGCTAAAGAAGTTGCTGAAGGCGTTCACCCTCCTTCTCAGTTTGAGCAGCAGGTGAGGGTCTTCAGGTACTCCGTGGTCTGGCCAGCTGGTAAACTGAATGTGAGTCACGTCTCTTCCACTTGCTTTTTCTTTTTTCTAGTTGAGATAATATTTTATTTGAGATGATTTTTTTTAAAAAAGCAAATTATATGACATAAACAAGTGGAAGAAGGGAGGACCGGTATAAAAATCTCCCCATGCAAACATAAACTGCTCCGAAGAGTCCATAATTCCTCAGGCATCCTGTAAGTTTTTGCAGCCATGATTGCATCTTCCTTTTTAAATAAGAACCATTAGTTGAGATATCATGCAGGACTTGCATGCACTACCCGGTAAGCAATAACTTACCAGTAAGGTAAGTAAGGTAAGCTGAGTGTAGCTGAAACTCCTAGGAACTTTCATGCTGCCAAGCCAAACAAACGACAACAACGATAAGAACACAACGAAAAAGGGAGGGTGGTAGGTGTAGGTGCGGGTTTGAATGGGCGTGTGAAAAGATAGAAAGTAAAGGTCATTCTCACAGCTGTTTAATATTCTTCTGCTTGGTGGGCCAGCAGCCAGGACTATCTTTCACGTGAAGAAAATTTGGTTAATTATTTGGTTAGCGCTGTATTCCTTAGGCCTTCACAGAATAGAATCGTCCACTCAGAATTTAGTGAGGGAGTGGAGGAAAGTCAGCCCCGGATTACAGCTCATGTTTGTCCTAGTTTCAGGGTAACCACCAGAAGATGCGTAAACCATAATTCTCTGGCCAGGTAGGAAGAACCACCTACGTTTAGACAGCCAGAGAAACAAACAAACAGAAAACTTAAAAAAAAGAAAATATGTTTGGATTATAATTTTCTGATAGTAAATAACTGAATTGATTAAGAACAGTGACCCCAGACCAAGCAATGCAACCGGATGGGCACGGGCCTCTGTATGTACCCCATATCTCTGGCTTGGGGGCCTCTGTGGCTCAGTCAATCAAGTGTCCAGCCAGGAGCCATTGATAGTCTTACAGCGGAGCCTTCCGTAGGCGCAGTGGTCAGTAACGCCATGGGGGCCTAAGAAAGCCTTGGGGGAAATACACAGTAAGTCTGTTTTTCCTGTGGGAAATGGAACTGGACTATATAGAAACAAAATTTACATAACTAAAAGGCCTCCAACAAATGAAATTCAGAGAAAATTTCAATGCCCTTTATAAAAACTTGCATTTTTTAGACAGCTCTATCTAGTATTTTACATACAATAAAGTTCACACATTTAAAATGTACAATTCAGTGTCTTGATTATGTTCACAGAGTGATGCAACCATCACCACTATCTGATTATAGAACATTTTTGTCACCACAAAATGAAAACCTGTGCCCGTCAGTAGCCACTCCCTATTTCCACTCGACCCCCTGAGTCCTAGGCAACCACTAATCTACTTTCTGTGTTTATGGGGTTGCCGATTCTGGACTTTTCATGTAAGTGTAATCATACGATATGTGAAATGGCCTCCATTTCACTGCTATTTAAGGCCACACTGATCTCTCTATTTTCTGAACTAAACATTCTATCTCCGCTATGCAGGCAGAACTTTATACTTAAGGGTTCTCTAATCATGTCATTTGTACATTCTTTCCACAAGAATAAGCATCCATTGAGAATAAGGACTATTTGTTTATTCATTTAATAACTTGATCATTTATTCAACACATCTAATGTAACTTTCCTTTTTTTAAAGACTTCCAGGCTCATAGCATAGTGGATACTTTCGACTTGGACAAACACTTCTTGACCAGTAACTTAAACTTGACCATGCTGGCTTGTGTTGCTGTTCTAACCCAGCTTTTCCTCCTAACGATCATTAAAAATAATTTTCCCAGATAGATTTGAATTTCTCATATTTAATACTACATAATTGCATTTTTATAAAAACAGTATCAAAACAAAATTGCATCATAAAACAGACTCACATTTGTGATGTTCAGTTTTTGAATGATATAATCGGGACATCTTTTGTGCTCGTTGATCTTCACAATGATGTCTCCGAAAGCCCGAGTGCCCTCTTCCATGGTTGGCCAGTATTCTGCACACTTGTTCTGTATTTTAAAAATCATTAATGATTTCACTTTTTCATTTAAACAATTTTTGTTAAAGTTTCTTAAAAAACCAAAATATTTTCTTAAAACATTACTATATATTCCATTAAGCACATATACATCTTAAGTTGTGATGTTTGAAATGTGTTCTCTTTCCCATTAATGTACCCTGAAGAATGTCCTTGATGCTGCTTAGCAGAAAGATGATCTTCCCAGGCTCAGTGGCATATTAAAAGAGGACATGCTTAGGGGTCAGCAAAAAAGATGTGATTGCTTGTGGTTAATTTCAGGTTGGAGGACAGAGAGGCTTTTACTCCTCCTAAAGTCACAGGATGTGATTTACCACTTCTCTGCCCCAGGTGAGTTTTGTTTTGAGTATTCACAAGTACTTGTGAAGTGAGCACATTAAGTACCTGTGAATACTTGTGCTAGTGCTCACTTATAGCAACACTGAACTTGCAGCAACACTGCAAAGATACAGGGAACAACTAAAAGACCAGCAATTAAGCAGAAGTATTTAAATGTTACGCATATAAACATATATCCACGTATGTAGAAATTTTATTTTTCTATATGTAGGAAATATTTAAATCAAGTGTTAACACTGATTAAAATAAAACACTGTCTGTTTCAGTCATCAAGCACATAAATGTGGCTTTTTGAAATGCAGCTCAATACTTTATTTTCCTAACACCAACGTCTGCCCCGTGAATCTTCTTGGTTCTTACCCTGTTTCCTTCTTCACATCGAGTAACCATGACAATAACCGTGGCTTTCTGTTCCCAGATCATCCTCCAGAAATCATCAACAGTTTCATCCCTGGGACCTAGGAGGTAAACAAATATAAGCACAGAAGAAGTATTTTCTTAAAAGTGCTATAAAACGATTTTTCAGAAAGAATATTGGACTATCAAATAAATTACCTTGTGCAGCAATATATTTCCTGGGTTCTTTGAAACCCTGTTCAAAACATAAAAGCATGTCATTTACTGAGCACTGAATTATTCACTCACGTGCAAAATCATCACTTAGAGGAAGTTGCTTTAGATCCACCATTTCTTGGTGGTGAAGGTCCCTGGGCATTTTCAGATTAGTATGGGGATTTTATGAAATCATGATCAGGCACTGAACTAAACATGTCAGTTAACACTCGCCAACCACATTCATGACTCTCATGTGTCTTTGCCATATTTGCCAAACAGGAAGAAGCAAAGAAGGATTTTCCCCAAAGCCTTCTGCGGGAGCAGGGCTCTGCTGACACCTTGATTTCAAACTTCTCGTTTCCACAACTGTGACAATAAATTTTTGTTGTTTTAAGACTTGGAGTTTGTGGTACTTTGTTATGTCAGTCCTAGGGAACTAATACACTGTAAGAATAAATAAATACATTATTATAATGTGAAATATGACTCTTCCATCTACCTCACTAAAAGTTTACATGTTCAAGTAGGCCAAACAATGCTAATAACGACAAAATTAAATTTCAATTTTTTTTCTTTAAGAAAATTTTGGACATTACCTAATAAATAGGCACATATGGTAGCATGACATATACTTTATTAACTATTTGATTGTAAAAAAAAAAATTTTTTTTTTCGAGACAGGATCTCACTATGTCACCAGGCTGGAGTGTAGTGACGTGATCATAGCTCACCGCAGCCTCTAACTGCTGGGCTCAAGCCGTCTTCCTGCCTCAGCTTCCCGAATAGCTGGGACTACAGGTGTGCATCACCATACCCAGCTAATTTTTTCTGTTTTTGTAGAGACAGGTTCTCGCTCTTGCTCAGGTTAAGCTTGGACTCCTGGCCTCAAGTAATCCTCCTGCCTCGGCCTCTCAAAGTGCTAGGATTACAGGTGTGAGCCACCCTGCCCAACCATTCAAATTTTTTTTCTTCTTTTAGCAAGACTGTGGAAATAAGCAACTTCATACACTGCTGGTGGAATATATTAATAAATTGGTACAACTCCAGCGGAGAACCACTTGGAAATGTCTTTTAAAATTACAAATGTATATACTATTTTACCCTGAAATTCTTCTTTTAGAAATTTATCCTATAGATATATTGAAACTCATTGTGGAATAAAATTCCATGAATTACTATAAAAATATAAAAGAAGGGGTGAGGCGCAGTGACTCATACCTATAATCCTAGCACTCTGGGAGGCCAAGGCGGCAGGATTGCTTGAGCTCAGGAGTTCGAGACCAGCCTGAGCAAGAGCGAGACCCCGTCTCTACTAAAAAAAAATAGAAAAATTAGACAGGTGTTGTGGTGTGTGCCTATATTCCCAGCTACTCGGGAGGCTGAGGCAAGAGGATCGCTTGAGCCCAGCAGTCTGAGGTTGCTGTGAGCTAGGCTGATACAATGGCACTCTAGTCAGGGCAACAGAGCAAGACTCTGTCTCAAAAAATATAAAAAACAAAAGAAGGATAAGGAAATGCTCTAGGCTCGAGGTCAGCAAACAATAGCCTGTGAGCCAAATCCAGCACGGCCTGACTCTGTAATTAAAGCTCTGTTGTGTCATAGCCACATTGTGTATTGTCTACGGATGCTCGGCCATTCACCTGCAGAGCGGAGTGGCTGTGACAGAGATGTTCTGCCCTGAAAAGCCAAAAATATTTACTGTCTGACCCCGTACAGAAAAAGCTTGCCGACCTCTGCTCTTTATAGTGATGTTGTATATATCCCAGACACATGTATTTTTTGAGTGGGACAAAACAGTGTGAATATTATATTAACATTTTTGTATAAAGGGGAATAACAAATGTTGGTGTTTTCCTGTTTATATATAAATAAACCGGAGGGATAAACGAGCAACCCACATAGAGGTTACCTCTCCTGGTAGATGGTGACACTGAGCAAATGGCAGATTAGGTGAGAAAAAGATTTTTTTCCAGAACATTTATATTTTTACACTATCTAAAATTATTTAACTCATGTAATGCATTACTTATTTAACAATTTTATAATTAATCTTAAAAATATTTTAAATAAATTAACCGTGCAGAGATCATTACATTTGGGGATAAATAAAACGAACAGATGATCAGTGTTGAGGAAGAGTGTCTGCTGAAAGGTCGTGTTATGTAATCAAAGCATGACAATGTGGGGTCAGGCAGACCTGGGTTGAGTCTCTACTCGAATCCTTACTAATTGTGTGAACAAGGACAGGACAACTAATTACACTGAGACGCCCAGTCCCCACCTGTACGATGAGCACACTGCAGGGGGAAGGTGCCGATGCCGGGCTCTTACGAGAAATGCATGCACAGATCACTTAGTCTAATATCCAGCATGCAAAAGGCACTGGAGTATATTATATTAATTCTTGGTATAATTTTGTTTGTAGAGGAAAAACTCGTTATACCTAGTACCAATAAACAATTAATATTCTTGCAAATATTAGTGATTTTGTTGTTTATACCAGTGACATTATAGGCTCACTTTAAAATATCCCTAATAATATTTCTAAAATTTTGCCAAGACAAAGAAGAAACTGAACGGAATGCATAGATACAGGAAAAATGCAAACTGTCAATGACAAAAGGATGAGGCTATAACTTGGCAGTTATGTATTTTAACTCACATCAATATAGCTGGCATTTATGTAGTTTGACCCTGCATCTCCATTTATCTCAGAGAGTTCAACACGGTTATAATCATCTGTTTAAAGAAAAGAAAAATAAACAAGTGAAATAATGAATAATCAAGCAGTCCAAATGTATGGAAATTCAATTCTCAGTGAGTACTCACAAGGAAGGATGTCAACGTAACGGTTTTTATTCTGATTAAAGGGCTTTCGAGCATCTTTGATAGGAAACTTGCTGAATACCCGTGGAATGCTCTGAAAGACACAAACATTCTTTAGGTCACAGCAGATTAAGGAAAATAATTTCCCCCTTACCAATTATCATTTTGAGCAAATGTGATATCCTATAAAATGTTTTCTTTGTATTGATAAAGAAGTTGCTTATGGTAAGTGAAATAAATGTTATTAGGAATAATGCAAAAAACCCTTTTTTTCCTTAAACATTAATGATGGACTATTCAAAACAAATCTCACGAGTGAGGGTCAATTTAGAATTGGTTGTTGTGTCACTTTAAAATTCATTTAAAAACAGACTCTTAAATGATTATCTAGAGTACAAGTACCAAATCAACCAAGTATATTTTGTGACACAACTTCGTAACACAATAAAGCATCATATTACAAGTATTACTCACTCCCTACTATGATATTGTCAATCTCTATGAGTATCTCTTCTGGTTTTTAAATATCTGCTAATAATGTCTGCTTTGATTATGTTGCAATATTACGCAGGATAAATTATAAAGGCAAACGGTTATACAAATACATTTAAAAAACGGCATTTTCTTGATGTTTGAATAGAATTTCTCATCATATATCAAGAGCAACACACACCTGAAATTCAGCCAGAAAGAGTCTTCCTTCATCAGCAATCTTTCTTTTATAGGTTTCCAACAAAACATCTGCATGGATTGGTTCCACACTCATCAGTTGTTTCTCATCCTCTGTAAACATATTAAAGATGCAGCAAGAGTTATAAACCTATCTTCCAAATTGGCATACAGATTTCATTACATTTACACCCTCTGTTCGATACTTAGCTTCTTTCCTTCTCATGCACATTCCACCTGAGAAATCTCACTCGTGTACACACTGTAAATCAATGACTTCTAAATCTTGTACGTCAGCCTTCTTCTAGACTTTGTATTGTTCCCTCTACTAGAATGTCCTTCCCTATCTTCAGCGCTTAGAGAAAAGATCCCAGACCAAATAACACCACTGTAAGGACATCCACATTTCTTTTTGATTATATGCATTTTGTAGCAGTTACCATATCTATTAATCTATATTATCATTATTATTTTTCTTTGTATAATTTCCATTTTAACTTGTTGTAAAATATTGTAAACATACAGACGAAGTAAGAGAATATGATTAATATCCCTCTGTGCATGACTTGGCTTAATTTGATCATCTGTTTATACTCATCTGTGAAACAAGTTATATTCATTTGTCATGCTTCCAGAGTGTAAAATACATTATATACTGTGTTTGTGAAATAACTTACTACAGAGTAAAAATACTTGTTAACCATCAAAAGCTTGAATTGTATATGGAACTCAAAAAAACAACAATTTTAGAAGAATAAGAGAATTTAAGCTGTAACATGTAAAAAGTATGTTTCTCCTACTCTTCTATGTATTGCTGGTAATATTTCTTTCATTATTACCCATTTCATATTAATTTTGCCCACGTATCAAATGAAGAAAGAAGGTATCCATGAGGGCGGCACATTTATCTCATCCACGGAAACTTTCTATCCAATCACAGCTATCAAACTGGCCATGTGCAGTTGCTTCTTTGGTCGTTGGGATTCCTTGTGTTCATTCATTCTAAGCCGAGGGCCGCCTTTGGGGATTCACGGGGTCTGAGTGGATAAGTTCTAATGCACTCCAAGGTGCAGTACCGATTTGGAAATACTGTATTTTGTTGACAATCTCCCAGTGTGCCTTGAGTTCTTGAAATGGATTCTCCCACTCTGCTCAGATGCTTGTTGCTCCCGTCTTCTTCATTCTTTCCTCAGCCTATCAAAACTAATCCTCAGGACACCTTATCTCATTAATTTATTCGTTCCTTGGTATTTATTAAATTCCAAACACTCATCTAGGGACTGGGGTTAAAGTAGTGAATGAGAAAAGCAAATCTCGCTGCCTTCACGAAGCTTACATTCTTAGTTGGGAGAGGATAGTTAACAAAACAAATGGAAAAATGTAGACTACAGTGTCAGGGAGTGATACATTCCACAAAGGAAAATAAAACCTGCTAAGGAGCTTCGAAGAATCAGTCCTAAATATTCTGCACGCAGACTTGGTACATGCTACGGCCAGAGGGGAACCCTTCAAACACAAGTTAACACACACAGATGAGTTCTGAAATTCTTCCTGTCTTGAGTATGAAAAAACAACTTTTTTTTTTATTGTGAATAAAGTTTCAATTTCTTAAACTTAGTTCCCTTTTACTGGATCAAAAATCATGTTTTTAAAAAGAAATTAAATGATATGTAAAAGTTGAATAAAAGAGAAAAAAAGGAATTTGTTTTCCCCTCCTAAGTTAAACGGCTATTCTTTATCCCGTCCATAAGGGTGTCTGTAGAGGGAACAGCCATCAGTCCACCCTGGCAGGGACTAGAGGACACTTCCCACCTCCCGTTTTTGTGACTTTCCATCTGCTCTTCCCTCCACGACTCCCTCATTTGTTGATCTGGCGTTTCCCCACAATCTCAGCAGACCAGATTCCTGTTCCTCCCACACATGCTTTGCTATCCTCTTTATTTCTGTAGAGCCGTACAGGGCGTTTATCAAATTACCATCACATTTGTCAGTACATTTGTCTTCCTCTAGCAGATTCTAAACCCTGTAAGGCCAGAGCCTGTGGCCTGTCCCTGCAATATTCTCAGCACCTGGCACAATATTTAGTGTATGCTGGGAACTTCATAGATGCTTGCTGATTGAATAAATGAATGAATGAATGTAAGTTTTCCCATGGCATGAACATAAGTCCATGTTAAATTAAAAACACCCCACTTCCTACTTTAAATGAATAGACTCAAATGCAGGGCAGGGAATATTCATCAGTAAAAAAATATGCATTACTTACCTCTTTCAACAAGTTCATATCGATCGTCTGAACTGCTGTGAAAACAAAAAACAAGTTGCTATATTCTTAAGAAACATAGAATTCAGTTGGCATTAATTTATATTTCATAAATGTCCTGAAGGAATAAAGGGATGGAGGCTGGGAGGACAAAAGGAGAAGAGCGGAAAGGAAGAGGGAAGGAGGGAGGAGAGGAAGAGTCTGGAGAGAGAGGAGGACAGAAAGTGCAATGGAGGAGAGAGGAGGGTGGAAAGAAAAAGTGAGGGCAGAAAAAAACAGCCAAGAGTTGTCTGCTAAACTCAGATAAATGGCTGAATGATTTTATTTTAAATCTTCTGTTTTTCATCAAGTGTGCCTATTTCTGGCCAAAGAAACACATAAACTTCTCCAGATATTTCCCTCCTTTCTTTTGATTTTGTTACTCCTCAATCTCTCTCATCCTCTTTGTCCTGAAAGATCAGACACACATTCTTTTCACTGGTTATTGTTAAACCAAGCCTACAACATTATCAGCAAGGGTAGAAAATATTAATATTGAATATAAGCCAATAAAACCATGCCAACAGTCTTTGATTAAAAGTTCTGGGTATGAGCTGGACTCCATGTCATCTTCTCTAGCTCATGGATCTCACTTAACTGGCTGCATCGCTGCCTTGTGGATAAGTGATTTGTGTCACTATTGCTACCGTTATTATTTTTAATTTGTAAATCAACACTTACCAGGATCTTCTCTTATGCAGATCATAGATTTTATAGAGAACAACAATCAGGGCTATTGATGTCACAACAATCAGAAATGCCAGAAATGATATCAGTGCTTTAGAATTATCTAGAAATGAAAAATAACATATTAATAGAGCTTATTATGTCATATATTTTGCAAGATTCTTTGGATAATCACCTTTAAAGTTCTTCCATTTTAATATTTTCACTTACTGTGAGGTTTCAAAAACTAAAAATTTTAGAATTAGACCAAATGCTTGATTTCGTGATTTTGGCTATATTACTCAGAACCAATAAAAATATTGTATATTTAATTAGAATAAAAGAACAATTCACTTTCCTTCCATTAATAATCTTTTATAAAATATTATCATTTATATTTAATTCTTTCTGTCAATCATTCCATTTCGAAGGAATTAAGGAAGTAATCTAGTTATAATTTTCAGAGAGAAACTCAAATAGTTTAACTTTACATGCGGAAGTGGGCAGCTTCCTAAGGGGATCAGAAAGGCTTCTACTCCCCAAAGGTAAACCCTCTAACCTGCTCACTGAGGTGTCAAATCATTCAGCAAGAGACAAAAATTGTTTCTTTCTATAGTTAGGATAAGACTTACCCTGACTTAAATTTTCACTAAGGTTTAAGGGAAATCACATCCTTCCCTAGAGACAGGGCAGAGGAGAGGGTGTATTGGGACTATCTCGTAACCTGCATGAGTATATTATCTTTTTCTTATATAGTGAAAGAGCAACAAAATAATGCAGCAACCTAAGGCCTCAGCCCTGGAGCCAGACTGCCTAGGGTTCCCGTCCTAGCTCTGCCGTGTCCCAGTTGGGAGCTGGGCCAGAATCCTTATTATCTTTGTGCCTCTGCTCCCTAAGCCCTAACATGAGGTTAGGTGAGTTGATTCGCAGGAAACACTTAGCACAGTGCCTGAGATGTAGTAAGTACTAATTACTCGGTAGTCGCAAAAAGTGTTTCTCAGTCTTATTATCTGCCAAACATGTCTCTAGATACTGAGGATCTCCCAGAAAAGAAAACAAAGATCTCTGTCCTCATGAAACTCAATTTCTAGTGAGAAAAGATAGATAATCCATAATGAACATAAGAAATAGCAAATAGTAAAATAGCTTAGAAGGTGATAAAGGTTGTGGAGATAAAAAGGAAAATGGTCCTCGGAGATTGTAACACTACAGAGTATAAGAACAGGTACAGTTCTCAGGAAATTTACAGACACTAGAAAGGTAAACAAACAAATGAAACAATTACACACTTTTTCTTATTTTCTCAAAAATATAAGTAAGGTGATGAGGAAGTAGGGAGAGCCTGTTTTCTATGAATACAGGGTGCGTGGAGAGGTCTTCTTGAGCATGAGACAGTTTTTTTACAACCTGAAAGATGGAAATGACTCCACCCAGAAAACAGCTGCCAGATACAGTTTGTCTCATGTTCAAAATTTCTGTAGTTGGAAACTCATAAAAATAGGAGTATAGAAAATAATTTCAGATAGACACTGTCAGACCTGGGATTGAATTCTGGCTCTGCCATTTCTTTGATTCATGGGGCAAGTTGATTAAATTATCTAAACTTAATTTTCCTCGCCTATAAGGATGACCTTATCTTCTTTGAAGGGGTATTTATACTTGTGGTATATATGAAGATGGATAAATAAATGTGGGTATATGGGTGGATTGCAGTGAATGTTTTTAGGAAAGAAGTTCTTATTGCAATAGGCTCCTAAAATGACCCAAAGTGTTCCTTGTCTCATCTCAAATTCCTTTCACTGAAACTGTAAATCAATGTCAGTGACTAGTGGCAAATACATAATGATCAGCATGATGGTTTCCAGATTCTGTGGATAAAAATCTCATCCGAGAGTCAATCATCTAATCTCATATCCCTCAACTAAATTATTAAAATAAAAGGATGTTACTGGCAAAATAGAATACCCTGAAGTGAGATTTTATAAGAAACTGCACCAAATGGCCACAAGTTAGCACTCTGACCCATAGAAATCAACTAGGGTTGATTCTGCAAAAACATTAAGTAGCATCAGACTTGCATTGATAAACCTACTGATAATAAAATAGCCAAGTCTTCAGATATACTTTGTGATCTAAGCACACATGTTCTCTCCAGGAACTCCATTAATATTAAAAAAATTGAAAATGGCATTGATGCGTAACACCAGAGACAATGAGAAAAGGGAAATCAGAGGTAGAGCCATTTAACAAGTTTTAGAAGGTAGGGAACAAAGGAGAAGAAGCCACAACCCAAACAGCACACTGAAAAGGATACACACCAGTCATTCTTATTTTATAAGAATGCCTGAGTCTCAAGTTTGAAGGCAACATATGCAGTGAAAGTGAATCATAGGTCAGAAAATGGAAGTGAAATGTCTATTTACAGAAAAAAAAAAAAAAATACTCTTTTGAAAAAAACACTCCCAGAAAGGAGACAGAAGGTTATTTTCTGGAAAAATTAAGTGGAAGAGGTAAGGGACTTGCGGTAAAATCAGGCTCAGCGTAGGGCAGGGATGAGGCCCAGGAATGAAGTTAGGAAGACAAAACAATAGTCTGCAAAACCCACTTCTTCACCCTTCATCCTACCACCAAGGGTAGCACAACTGATTAATTTCTGGAGATAATGAATGATATCAGAGAAAATAAATCAGTGATATTATAGGGAATTTGCTTAGTCACAGAGATTTTCCAAGCACCACAGAACTTCTTATCAACTTTTCCTATCGTCCCACTGTAACCATGATTAGATTACCATAAGAACCAAACTCTTAAGGGAACTCAACATCAGAGAGGGAGGCCAAAATAATGAATTAACTTACAAGTTCCATGACTATTAGGCTTCAAAAAAGACTATAGAAAAAAAATGGAACAAAGAAAATTTCTCAGAGATATCTAAATCTCCAGATCACAAAGGCCGACACTATCCAGGAAAATTAATGGAAAAAAAAAAAAATCCAGGTAAGACCAAGAATGAAGAGAAAAGCATAATAGTTCCAAGTAAAAATATATGGGAACACACCAAAAACAAAAACAAGAAGCAGGATGGCATTAGAAGCATTAGAAAGTAATATTGGCTGCAGGAGAATAAAACATAAATACTTTTAAATTCTAGAATTTTTAACTTAGAATTTTATGCCCAGCCAAAATATCAGTCAAGTACCAGAGTAGAATAAAGATATTCAAGCATTCAAAAATTAGAATATTTTCTTCTTACACTAGAGGATTTTTTCAGTAAAATCTGGAAAAAAAAAAAATACATGAGATCTAGATGCAGCAAATCTAAACCAGAAGACGGACAAAGGAAAATTTTTAGATGACAGGTGAGAGTCCGCATCAGAGCAGGAAGACAAGGGCCCTCGGAGTTCAATCCAGAAAGCTGTCACAGTATAGGTGACGGCATGAATGTTCTGTCAAGGAAATCCAAAAACACATTTCTACTAGCTGTACCCTAGCAATCCACCAGCCAAGTTCTTCCCTGGAATAGATATCACTGTTAAAAAGTAACTATATTATTTATCCCTTACGAAATGATATTGTGAGCAGAGAGTTAAGACATTTTTTTTCTCCTTTATGGAGGAAGGACGTGAGCTAACTCTTTAGCTCCGTTGACCTGGAAATCTTAGAAAAGTGGAATATTAGCTATGTTACCAGGCAACATTGCGAATGATAAAATGACCCTCGATTACTAAACTATTTAACACATCTGGACAGGGAGCGCTACATATGAACCATACTGGGAAGTCCTAGCTCTGGGCTTCCTGAGCACACTGCTCTCTTGTAACCCAGCACACACCTTGAGCACGTCTGGAAGGTGAGCCTACGGAACTGTTATAAAGATACAGGTTCCTTTTGGAATGCAGCTCCCACAACCACACCCAGGCTCTCATTTTCTCACGTCTCAGTTGTCTTTGGGAAGGTCAAAGAATCAAATCTGGATTGCTCTGTCCATGGCTACGAGGATTCCCACTGCCAGACTCCCTTGCTAGCAGGCCGTATTTCCTGTTCTGTGTTTTTCTAAGTGAAACAGTTCTAGGTCTGGCCTATTCAGGTGTGAACATAAATGTTCAGTTGAGTCTATGACCACCAAGGGTAGGTGACACAGCTATAGATTATTTATATAATAGGAAAAATTCAGTGAAACTGCTTTTATTACAAATACATTATAAAAGAAAAGCCTGATATGGAAATAAAATCAAAGATAGATAGTAGAATTTGTTTATTATTTAACATTAAAGGCTTTTATTTCATAAATCTGCACAGAAAGAACTAAAACTTTACCCAGGCCTCAGTAAAGCAGTTTGCAAAACAAGCTGTTTTTATATCTTCCCTTTTAGGGAAATAAAACCTCAGTGATTGTGCACGCACACGTATGTAAGTAAGGGAGAAAGACCCGAAAACGGCAAAGACAGTGTCAGGAATAATCCATGGTTGACAACAAAACACATGGAGGCTTAAATAATTTTATTTACAAAGTTAACAAGTAGAGAAAGCTTAAAATACTTTACTAAGTCTTCTTCCTCCATAGGCTTACATCTATAGGTAATGTTACTAACTCTGGAAAAAGTAGGATATAATATTGTTTATATATAGAACTGAAAAGAGAACTGAAAAGAAAAAAACTAAAAAACTAAAAGCAGTTTCTCTGGTGAACAGAACAGTGGGTGGGGAATGTCATATCCAGCTGCAATTTTCATTATTATAATAGAATTTAAAATGATTTTTTCATGTGTACCTTTACTTTGATTAAAATATTTTAAGTAGTAATGATTATTTAAATAGGCATATCTGTATTAGGGAGTGCTTATCTTAGCTGCGATTAGATAAATCAAGATAGCTATCTATCTAAGACCCACTTCTGCCAAGCACACTGTGGAGGGACAGAGTAAGATCAAACAGGTAACAATCTCTAAAATACTACACAAAACAAAGTAGCTGACATGAAGAAATACCATAAACAGAATCATAACTTAATAGTTTCTATAGATAAATCTTCTTATAAATTCAACAATCCCTTAATAATTGAATCTCCTAATTTGAATTTGAGGCATTGTATTTTAAGATGATATTCACCTATATATATATATATATATATATATATATACATACACGCACATACATATATATGTTTTTCCAGATAACTTAAAATATTATATTTATGGAAATATATATAATTAAAACATTTGACAATTAAATGTGACTATGAATGTAAAATAATACATATTGTAGGCACTAATATATATCTTAATATTTATATAATAAATAGCCCAGTAATGACTTACAAGATGTTGACCGATGCATAATAACTTTCTCTCCATCAAACTTCCCATTGTTACAATGGATCTGAATTTCAGTAATAAAAAAGAAAATGATTTAGTTTCCAACGTAAAGTTATATATCATAATGCAAAACATATATTATTTATTATAGAATGCTATTTATCTTCATTAAAAATATTCTGATTTGCTTTAAAGTTAAAACTCCAAGGTAATATCACTATGTTATCAAACATTTTTTAAAAGATAATTAAAAGATGTAATGAAATCTTAGCTCACTTAGCAAAAATAATAATAGTTATGGTCAGCAATAATTAATGAAACTGTATGAATAAATAAAACCCAATATATCAAAATATTCATAATTTAAAGTTAAAATTTCCTATTAGTAGGCAAGTATCTTTACATCTTATTTAAAAAGGAAATTCAACCATAAGCCATTTGCAAGAGTTTTATATATAAAATTCAACTAAATTTTTCAAGAGAAATGGATACAGAGTAAAATTTAACTAAGCATAAATGCCTGTCTTATAATATTTAATATAAATAAAACAAAAACAATTTAGATATACAGGGAAACTGAAAGGAGGGAAAAAAGCAATGAGAATCTTTGACAAAAAAGCAAACTTAAGTAAAAATAGATCTGATTAGTATCATTAAATAAGATTGATAGCTATGATAAATGTGACAAATACATACCTAAACTTTTATCCTATGGAGAATATATAATTTCCCCAGTATTCATAGAATATTCATAACCATTTATCATATATTGAGTTGTAAAAAATATTCTACAAATCCCCAAAGGCAGAAATTATAAAAGCAAATTATCGTTTATGAACTAATAACTAGTCGCAACAAGAAACTCAAGCACCAGAAACATAGAAACACTCTCCTAAATAACAGGTAAATGAAAAACTCTTCCAAATTGCAATTATAGACTCATTAGGATTATGAATAATAAGAACATTTTGCTTTAAGAATCATTCACTAAATTTTATGTGCAGCTATTCAGAAATTAGTGATAAAGAATATAGACATGAGATACAGTCAAAATTTTACCAAAGGACAATTCATAGCCTTTTTCTTTTCCTTAATTAATAAAAAGTAAAAAAAAAAAAAAAAAAGAAATGGGGGGGGAGGGAAACACTTTCAATCCCAAAGCTACAAGAACATCATCAAAATAAACTTATGAAAAAAGTAAAAAATTAATAATAATAAATCAGCTTTACTAATTTATTAAGCAGAGACCACAATGGTGAAAAAGCTGAAATGGCCGCTCTCTCGTAAAGGTGTAAGCGCAATGGCAGAGACAGAAATAAGCACACAGAGCAGTTAGGGCGAGTGCAACAGAGAAAACGAAACACAGCCTTTTGAAGAGTCAGGGAAGAGAATGGGTAACTGAATAATTATCCTCTAGCTTGAATTTTAAGACTTTATTTTAATACGCTGGCCATCTACTTTTTTTTTGGAAAAACTTATAATGTGTGAAGAGTGGGAGAAGAGTATCCTAAGAAGAGAGAAGAGCCTAGGCAGAGAGTTGCCTAAAGAGAGCAAATCCTCGTTGTATTTGAGAAACTGGAAAGAAACCAGCGTGCCTGGAACCTCGGGGCGATGGGGACACAGTGGGAAAAGAGGATAACGTTCAATGATATGGTAATAACAAAGTATTTTTTTTACATGGACAAGTCTTTGGAAAAAATAGAAATGGCACCCTCACTCAAAAGGAAGTAAAATATCTGAAAAGACCAATCATATTGAAAGAAAATGCAAATGATTGTCAAAGAATTCTTTTGCATAAAAGGGATCAAACAAATTGTCCAGGGAACAAATCATTCCTATACTATTTAAAGTTATATAACATAGAAGAACAGAAAAATACCTCTGACGTGTTTTATTAGGTCAACATAACGTTTACACCAAAATGTAATAAGAACGATGTTCCCCGTGTCTACGCCACAACCACCGCTATCCACTTTTTAAATGATCTCGTTTGTGAATACTTATTCAGAAAGACTTAATAAAATAGTAGGCTGTTGGTTTCAACAATACTTTAAAAGAATAATGCACCATGATAGAGCAGGATTTTTTTCTTAGAATGTGGGAATGGTTTAGCCCAAGAAAACCTTTCACTATAATTCATCATATGAACAAATCATACCATGGCATCATGCCTATGGCATGATCTAACACAATGTCATTAAAAAAAATTGACAAAATCCAACCTATTTTTCCAGTTAAAAAACAAAACTCCACAAGCTTAAAAATACAAAAACGCTTCTTTAAGTGATAAAGAATATGAAGCCAATCATCAATATCGTATTAATAACAGTTAACTATGGAAATTTCCACTGAACAGGAAAAAAAGTGACAGATTTATTTGTATAAAAATAAGAGGGGCTCGCATATGAACTGAGGGCTAGGAAGAAAATCAAAAGGCAAACTACAAAATGAAAACAAAATTTATAATACATATGGCAAAGAGTTTAGTACCATTAATATCCAAAGATTTCCCTATGAAAACTGGACAAAGGAAGTAAAGAGTCAACACAAGAACAACAACAACAAAACTTTATTTGCCCTCAACAGTAAGTAAAGAAACTCCATTAAGACAAAAAGAGATACCAATTCAAATTTCACTCTCTAAACATCAAAGGAAAAGAAAGGCAAAGGCATGCTCGGTGTTGGGGATTCTCTCAAGCAGTCATTTCACACACTGATACAACAGGGTAATTTGGTAACTTTTATCGAAAAAAAAAGGTGATATATATCCAAAATGTTAAAATGCATGTAAATTCTTTTTGACCCAATAAATTCTAGGAATTTATCAAACATAAATGATTAAAGACATATTAGAAGATTTTGCTATTTATCAATCAGTGTGTTTACTGAATGTTGTTTATATTAAAAACTAACATAGTTAGTAGAATGTGATAAAACCATATGATAGAATCTTACGCAACCATCAAAAACTACATAGTAGTAAAATATTTAACATGGGAAGATGTGCATGATATAGTAACATGAAAAATACTGTTTATCAAACTGTGCATTATATATATATGCATTATATATATAATATCCAATACATGTTAAATGCAGATGTGTATTACATATTATGAAAGTATATATGCAAAATATGGTCAGTGGTGAGATTATGAGTATTTTTAATTCTCTGTTTTCACTGGTATTTTCTAATATTTATTTCTAGTGTTTTCTAACCTCAGGGTACCTATAAAATTTTTGCAACTGAAAAATTCACATGAATAAAGACAAAAAGCCAAGGTAAAGAAAAGAGTTGGCAAAGTATTAATCTGTTGTGCATAAAATGTGCTTTTTGACAATAATTTAACTATAATTAAATCACATTGAAGTTCTAAAACATTTCAATGAAACATTTGCTACTGTTTTTAGCTCTAGAGATAAAAAGTTTGGAATAAAAGTGACTATAGTCAACAATAAATTATGGGCTACTTTAAAATTTGGGGGACTTTTATAATGTGATTCCATTAAACATGGGGGCTTCTCAAGCTCCTGTGAGCACCAGCCTTAATGCTATTCAAGTACTAGATAGTAATCATTTATAATGTATACAGGTACTGTGATGATATAGAGAGCATAACTTTACCCAAAACTCATAGTTTGTTGAATAGTGAAGATTTTCTACAGAGAAGAAGCAGATATCTTCTTCATAATTATTAAATAAAGCAGCTCCAGCTTTGACTTCCAAATGGTAACGTGCGCGGGGACCATTAAGCTCCCTGGGTGCCTTGCACTTGACAAGCATGCTGTTATCTGAAGTCCGGGTGACAGTCACGTTCTGGACTTCACTGGGAGCTGTCGAAATGAAGAGAGATTTGTTATTTTAATCATTTAATATGCATATTCATATTACGTGACAATTCATGTGCACAGGATAAAGTATTCTAAGTGTTAGGCCAGAGGTTACGGATGAAGTAGTTATGATAGTACGTAAACGAAAAAGTTATATTGAAGCATCTGAAAAGAATCACCTATCCTTCCAGTGAGTATTAGCACATAGGTTGTGCTTGAAGCCGTGAGCGTCCACGCAATCCTGGAGCGAGAGTGTGCAGAATGAGGGAATAGAGAAAAGGAGCGGACAGGGATGCAGAGAGACAGGGAGGAGGAGAGGGACGGGATGCTGACGGCAGAACCTCCAAGGCCTGTCGTACGGCCCAGACCCTCCGTTCCTGGAGGGCTTCCATGGTCCTGGTAAACATCCTCAGGATGTTTCAGGACCAGCAACACTTCATCTTCATTGGGCGTGGCATCACAGACACTCAGGAAACAACAAAAGCGTAGAGCTCTAGGACCTGGGCATTTTAAATCAGAACCTAAATGACGTTAAGAGATGGCTTGAAAAAAATGGCAAAAATGTTTTATGTCTTTTCAAAACATCCCCTACTCCTTTGGGAGAACCAGGGCCCGCATCCCTGCATCAGGCCAGTGGTTGCTGGGAGGGTCTGGGAAGTGTGCTCTGTTCTTTGTGCCACAGCAGATGGGATTAATCCGGGGGTGGAGGTCATGAGATTGTCTTAGCCGAAGATGGGATTAATCAGAACCTTTAAAAGCTCCGTACTTCTGCTCAGAAGCAGAATGCTAGTACTTTGAGACAGGAGTCTGCCAGCCTCCTCATTTGCAGACAAATTAATAAACTTCCCTTTCCTTCTCCCTGCAACCCCTCAGAAAAAAAAAAAAAATATTTTCTGTTCAGCTCTCAACAGGACATTTCTTGCTGCTCGTGAGGGTCTCTGGAGCAGTAGATGCTGCCTAACACAGGGCGTTTCTTCTTCCCTGTGCTTGACGGAGGTTAACATTTACCAGCTTTGGGCCTGGGAACTTACGAGACACACAAGTGACAAGAGTCCAATGTCACTGAAAGGAAACCTCAACTGGAAAATGTGACGTAGAATAAAATCATAGGTAGTTCGGTGTAACAAACAGAAGAAAATGCTATTACATTTTATAAAAGGTGCACAGAGGTTAGTAAGTTAATATTTTGTGGGACATTGATAGGCATCTGACTGCAGGTAATATTTCTAGATTATAAAGACAACAGCAGACAATGCATTTTTTATCTAAATTGACTATGAACTGAATTGTCTGAAATCTTACAAATTGTACCAGTGGATAGGCCCTCATGCTTCATTCTTACAATTCTATGACTATATCTGAGGAATACAGAGAACCCAGGATAACATCCTTTAAATTATTTTATTTTAAATTATTATAAAGCCTAGATATTAACAAATGTGCCAGGTCAATGTGCTTCCCAAATGAAGCATAAAGATAGATGTATTTTAGGCTAAAAAATTCATACTTTGCTTTTTTGCCATGCAAGAACTTACGTGATGTTTTTGTTAGAAATTCACATGTCACAGCAGTTCCATTACGTTGGACTTTTGCGTTGTTGTAGGCATTTAATGAGACATGATACTTTGTGAAAGGTTTCAGATCTTCCAAATGATGGTTGTTCTTGGTATTATCCAGATTGAAGCATCTTTCTTCTTAGAAAAAAAAAAATGGGAAAATTTAGCAAGTCATTAGAAGTCAGGATTGCCACCTGTGTAATGTGGTCTCTACCTGGTACCATTCCACGCAGACTCCAAACTAATGAATGATTGAGAAGTATGACTGTATCCTTGATCCTCAGAAGTACATACAAGTATCAGCAAAATGGTATTGAACAAACTCAATTATTATCAATAAACTCAAATAGTCAACAATTTTGGTTTCATATGATTAATTTGGTACATAAAATATTTAGTAAGTTCAGATACATTGTGAAGATATCTTTTCTTTCTGAGAAACCAGAGCCCCCGGTAGATACTATCAAAGCCTTAAGCTGTGATGTTTCAGAATGATTATTTTTTAATGAACCTTTTCTGATACTTAACCCCCAAATTTTGAACGTTGATGTTAGCTACTGTTTTGGACTTTATATGAGGAATCCATTTGATCACCAGTAACTGGGTCTATCCCACTACACTACTTTAAACACTGAAGTAATCGTGGGGGCTACGAGAATGAGGGAAAGCTCCTCGCTGGCCCAGGAATCCGAACTGTTCATTGAAAGGTGAGTGAGACTGAATAGGCAGGCGGAAGGGAGAAAAGAAAACACTACAAATGAAAGAAGAAATGTTTTGAGTTTAGAGAAAAATCTGATTAGGACAGCAGTTTCTGGCTAAGAGGCAGGACCTCGTTTAAATGTGTTTTAACATTCAAGCAGAAAAATCAGCATTTGGTAAGTGAAAAGAAATCTCTGGCAACTGACTATTTTTGAGTAGCCAAGTGACATCACGAAGGACGGGTTAAAGGCAGATTACAGTGACAGCAGGTTACTTCACTGGAGCACAGTTACGGTGATATTAATTATACCAAAAATGATTAAAAAATGAATAACTCACTCCATGTGCCAAGCCCTGTTTCAAGCGGTATACACGAATCGATTCATTTAACCACCACCACAACTATCACCTGGCACTCTTGGTGTTATCTCAGTTTACAGATGAGAAAACTGAGAGATGAAGCAATCTGTACACGACCTCACAGGAAATGAAGAAGGAAGTCGGGGTGGAACCCGGCATTAACGTTCCAGAGTCCACGTTCTAGTCTTCACCATTTTACATACTGTATGGTGGGGAAGAGGGACAAGGACCGCCAGTGGGGCCGAGCTTCATCTTGGTCTTGGTTACCTCTCCTTTTTGGTGCTGCTGGTCCTGCCTGTGGACTTGCAGGAGCGGAGCAGGAAAAGACCTAACACAGTTTATCTCCTGTCTCTGCTGCTTATCTACACAGTGGAAATTATAGCAGTATCTCTACATCACCAGGGGATTCTAAGTAGTCAGGGCGATACAGTGGCTGTTTTAGCCTCATGAAAATTGTCTATTTCTCAGAAATCCCTAAGCTGCGGTTAGCTGATTGATACTTGCCAGTTCAGTTCTGCCCTGTCCCTAGCGACAATTCTCTTTAAGGGCAGGAAAGGCATAAGCTCAAGGGAAGGGCAGTTGCCATCCTCCGACTAAGGCTTCTGCCAGCTCTTCATGGGTCTGGCTCTTAGGACAATGCCCAGCCCATTACTGGGATAAAATCCAAGTGTCAGATGTTGCTTTGAAGATCAACCTGCTTGCATTCAGTGACCTAATTTTTATCTTTGCATATGTAATCTCATAACCATTCTGCATCAAAACAGAGGTCATTTGTGTAGTTCTATGAAGCTTTCATCTTAGCCAATCTGGCAGAAGTCAAATTGTTGATTTTATTTTTGAACAACGCATTGTTCAAAGGCATTGATGTTTGGGCATTTTTTTTAAAGCAATAATGAATCCAAGTTTTCAGTGCTTAGAAAGGTGGTTTGGAATGTTCGTTCCCACACTGCTCGGAGTTCCAGCTTTAGGTAAAAAGCCAAAGTACGTGAACATTCTTTCCTCCTCCATGTGTTTAAACGCTTCTTTTCTGAAGACTCTGACATCAGAGCACAAGTTGTATGGGACAAATTAAGAACTTATTTGGCTAGATGCTTGAATGCTTTTCTCCCTCGGGGCAAGGGGGACGTATGTTCAAGTCACGTGTGTAGCACTGCGAATGCCTGAAGAGAAACTGGCTTCTCCACTTGTCACCTCTTGTGTTTCTAGAAAATAGCTCAGGAAATGCATGAACAAATTCCTAATTTAGATGGCTTTAAAGTATCTTCTCGAATACTATTTCAAATAGTATGAACCTGTTTATCCTACAGGATTTTGTATTACCAAAAAAAAAAAAAAGTCGTTTTTCCCTTTAAAAAAGGCCTGACACAAAATAATTTCCAGCAACATCATTGTGGTCTTGAAGGGTACACATTTGGTTTCAATAGCTTTTGAAAAATCATCCTCTGAATGCAATAAAGCACAGAAGGTCTCTCCCCTAATTATCAAGAAAGCTTCACTGCCACCTGGCATTATTAAGTTAATGACACAAAACTGCAGTTCCCTGAGATACGATAAAAACATGAAAAACACAGGAGCAGAAAGAAAACAGCTGAAGCTGTTGAGCTTGAACATTTATCGTGTATTCTGTTAACCTCAGTTTCCTCATATGAATTATGAAGATATGTATGCACCTCTCCTCTCAGAGTCATTACTAAACTATTTAGTAAAATCCTTAAATAAAACATTTTAAAAATAAGCTGAGGTTGCTAAATAAACATCAATTACATTTTTCCTACTCCTTTTAATTCCTGGCTTTCAGAGACACTGAAATAACTAAATTATGAAACAATAAAATAAAATGTAATATCTGGTTAAAAAGTAATAGGAACTGCAGATTTCATAGACTTTTTTGTGAACTTTTAATAGTGATTTTATTTGAAATAATGAGACTAGTTAAATTAATTGCTTTAACAACAGTATTATCCTATCAACTCTCTTTGACTTAGCTAAAATGGGAAAGGATTGAATTATGGTATATGTTTGAGATACACGACAAAAGCAAAAGCAAAGCACATTTCTGTTTAGGGTAGGGCTGGCTCCTGAGTGCACTTAAAGCAGAGTCAGTACATGATGTGCAGCTGGAGTCAGTCACCAATGGACAGTTTTGTAGAAAAATACACACACTGCCTGATATTGTCCACCCTTGCCTTCTCTCCCCTCCCATCTCACTCAAGTGTTATATTTGGATAGCTATTATACATGGGTAACAAATAAGAAGGAGCCGTACTAGTTGCAAACAAACAACAAAATAAAACTCATCAGATTGCTAATAAGTAACTCATTACGTCCTTCTTACCCTAATTATGCAAATATAGATTCTTTTTAGAAACTTACAAAGGAGCAGTAAACATACCAAATTTCCACCATATACCCTGGCATAAAAAAATACCCTGCAGTCAAGAGAGTATGAACCAAGGAATACAGCAAGGGTATGAGTAGAAGATTCAGAAAAGAGAAAACCAAACTATGTGTTCTTACAGAAGCCATGCAAAGGCAGTTTGTAAAAGGTATGTTCAATGAGGCGGAGAGTATCTAATCATCCTGCTGTTTTATCTCCCATTTTTCCTTTCTCAGAGATTTAACTTTAGAAATTACTAAAACTTCAAATAAATTGTATATATTTCTTCTCCGTAGCATTTGCATCCTCTTATGCTCATTTGAAAGCATGTGTATTTAACTTTACTTTAGTAGTTTGATTATTAAGACTCAAAACACTAGCAAAAACAATGTTATCAAAATATAAAATAACATACTGAAGGCAAATAGTTTTTAACTTTTCAAGTTTTGAAATTTATGTGTGATTCCTTCCCGCCATACCTAGCAATGGACTTCTAGGAGATGCTCAGTCCACTCCTGCTTTACCCTATAGGTAGAGGATAAGAGAGAAGGGTATCCCAGATGTTGAGGCTGCTCTGAGATACCCCATTGACACTCACCATTTTCTACAAGCCTTTTAGATACTTTATGTCGTCCAGGAGATGTCTGTTCTCTTAAATAGCCTCTCATTTGAAGGTCTCATGGCTGAACTCGTCAGAGCACATTTTTTGACTGCGTTTTCTGCTGCGGAAGTCTAATTCTAAACTAGAGCCATCTCCAATATTCCACCAAACTGGCCTCAGTGGCTAACTGAGTCCATGTTCATTTTTATTCACCCAACGTTTCATGTGTATTAACTAGAACAAGTTTTGCAAATTGTTTGCTTGTTTGTGTGTTTAGGGTCCTGAATGATGAGTTCAAAGCGAGACAGATCACTCACATATTTGCAAGACATAAATGAGTATTACAGTCCAGGGATTTTGTTTTTCTAGGCTTTGGAAGGCAAAGATTGGAACTAAGATCAAGAAAGACAAGCAAATATTGGGAATATTCTGAGTTTTAGTCATTTCCAGGGCTGGAGAGCCCTTGGTGAACGAAAGCAGTTCTAAAATCAGGGCATACATTATGCCCACCACAGTCTCTATGTAGGGAGATCTAGGCCTCAAACCACATTTCTAGTATTTTCAAATTCTTGATTTCTCTTTCCTGATATGAAATTCAGTGTTATACAAATTACCTGTCTTGTTCCAATAACAAAGAGTGAAATTATGAAATACACCTTCAGGGGGATTCCAGGTAATTATGCCTTCATTACCACTTACACCATCACAAGTAAGATTCCGAGGCTGGTTTGGAACTGTTAAAAGAATAAGAATATGTAATATGAAAATTAAGACATGGAGAAAACATTCTTCATGTTATAAGTATGTATTATTAATAGCCATATTTTGACTAACTATAAATGAATAATGACATTTGAAGAAAGACATGTGGGCTTATTTAATTTGCTTGAAATTACTTTAACAAAGTAAATGTCATGCCAGAGTGGCACTGTGGAACCAAAGCATTCCCTGACTTAAAGGTGTCTGGGAACCCTCGCCTCCTCTCATTTATATTATTCTCCGGATATCCTGGGATTCAGAGATTTCGCTGTGCTGAAAATCAGGCATTTGTGACACTGATAAATTTAACAGTCATTATTTGAATAGCACTTGTCATGGTTTCCATAACTAGACATTAGGACCTGCGAAGAATGGATAAATATTTAAATAAAATGTATGAGATGTTAACAACATTAGAGATACAGTTTGATGAGTTTTGACAAATGTATACATCCCTATAACCACCACCACAATCAAGATACAGAAAATTCCTATAACCTCAAAAAGTTCTTCTGTGCCACCCAATCACCTCAGCCCCCTAGCTCAACCCACACCTGCGGTAATCTGCTTTCTATTAATATAGATTAAATTTATCTTTTCATGCATTGCACAGGACTACAATGAAACAATAATAGTTTTAGATCTAGCATATTGCCTTCAACATAATGTCTGAAGATTCATTCACGTTGTTGTGTGTGTCAGTAGTTATTTTTTATTCATCAGTAGTTATTATAAAGATATAAGATGTACCACATTTTATCTGTGATTCAACAGTTAATGGACATTGAGTTGTTTCCAGGTTTTGAGCTACTATGAATGAATCTGCTTTATCTTCACATGGACTTGTTCTTTCCTCTTTGGTAAATACCTCGAGTGAAATCGCTGGGTCATTACTTTACATTCTCCCCAATAGTTAGTATTATCGGTCTTCTTAAGTTTAGCCATTTTAGTGGATTGGTAATGGCATCATGTCAGTGTTGTTTGAATTTGCATCTCTCAGATGACTAATGATGTTGAGCACCTTTTTATGTGCTTATTAGCCATTCATATATCTTCTTTAGTGAAGTATATATTCAAAATGTTTGTCCATTTTTAATTGAGTCATTGGATGCCTTATTTTGTAGCTGAACGAGCCCTCTGTATATTCTGGAAAAACTTGCTGTGTTGAAAAAATAATTGTGATATATTTTACAACCTATGGTGCACTTCTTATTTCTTCTTAATGATTTCATTCAAAGAGGAGGAATGTTCAATTTTGATGAAGTCCAATATATTAAAATTATTTCTTTTATAGTCTTGCTTTTCATGCCCTAAGAAATCTGTGCTTAAGGCATACAGATATTCTCCTATGTCTTTGATTGGACATTTTTATAATTTTAGCTTTAGTGTTTAGGTCTGGAATCTATTCTTTTTTTTAGTTTATTTTTGTGTTTGTTGATAGGTGAGAGTTGATGTTCATTTTTTTCTATAGGGATACCAGGATCATTTGTTGAAAAGACTATTCTTTCCCCCACTGAAATACCTGTGTGCTTTTATCAAATATAAAAAAAATAGTTTTCTGGTATTTCTATTTTGTTACACTGATTTATAAAGACTGGAATAATTATAGTGTTTAATATCCAAAATATATTAAACTTTTCTAGTTATGCTAGGACATCGTTTGATTTGTTCTTCTTGTAGCTTTATGTTATTTTGGAGAATTATGGGAGACATGGATTTAGGCAGCCCCTTTAGTACTCGGCTATTCACATTTTTATATGAAATTTAGAATCATTTTAATATGTTTTGTCAAAAATTCTGCAGTATTATAATTCACAAACAAGTTCAATAATGTGGCAGATTGCAAGATCAATAGAGAAAAATCAGTTGTATTTCTATGCACTAGCAGTGAGCAATCTGCAAATGAAATTAAGAAAACAGCACCATTATAAGCAAGAATAAATTGAAACTAGGAATAAATTTAACAAAAGAGGTACAAGACTTAAGCACTGAATAGTAGAAAACATTTTGAAAATAAATTAATGAAGACCTAAATTAATGGAAAAACACCTGCTATTCATGCAGACTAAGATTGTTAAGATAGCAACATTCCCCAAATTGATCTATAGATACACTGCAATCCCTGTGAGAATCCAAGCTGGCTTCTTTGTAGAAACTGATGTGTTGATCCTAAAATTCCTATGGAATTTCAAGGGCCCTCAGATATTCTAAACAATCCTGAAGAAAAAAAACAAATTTGAAGGACACACACTTTCCAATTTCAAAACTTACTACAAAGCAACAGTAATCAATAGTGTGGCCGTGGTATAAGGATAGATATGGATATCAGTGAAATAGAACTGAAAGTGCAGAAATAAACCCATCATTGTGGTCAAGTAATTTTGTACCAGAGTGGTAGGACCATTCAGTGGGGAAAGAATAGCGTTTTCAGCAAATGGTGCTAGGAAAATTGGATAGCCACATGTAAAAGAATGAAATTAGACCATTACCTCACACGATATACAAATACTGACTCCATGTGGACTACAGAGCTAAATTTAAGGGCTAAAGTTATGAAATTCTTAGAAGGAGACATAGGATAAATCTGAATGATCTTGGACTTAGCAACAGATTTTTATATATGACACCAAAAGCATATAGAAATAAAAACAGAAAAATTGAACTTCATCAAAATTAAAAACTTACATGCTTCAAGAAGTATCACAAAAGTAAAAAGACAATTCACAGACGGGAGAATGTTTTTGTTAATCTGACAAGAGATTTATGTCTAATCCCATAAAGAACTACAACTCAATAAAAAAATCCAATTAAAAAATATGCAAAGGATTTGAATAAATGAAAGATATACAAATGGCCAATAAATACATACAAGCATACTTAATATTGTTAGTCATTAAGAAATGCAAATCTAAACCACAATGAGATACGCTTCACACCTACCATGATGACTAATATAAAAAAGGTAGGTAAAAACAAGTGTTGATGAAAATGTGGAAAAACTGGAACCGTCACACAATGCTGATGAATATATAAAGTGGTGTATCCACTTTGGAAAACAGATTGGCAGTTTTTCACAATGCAAAACATACAGTTGCTAGTGACACAAAAAATTGCAATCCCAGATATACACCTAAGAGAAATGAAAATGTGTACACAAAAAACTTGGGCATGAATGTTCATAACAGCATTATTCACGATAGCTGAAAAGTGAAAGCAAACTAAATTATCACTCAACTTATACAGGGACAAACAAAATAAGGTATATCTATGCAATGAAATATTATTCAGCAATAAAAAATGAAGAATTAATACATATTGCAACAGAGATACACCTTGAAAATGATATGCTAAGTGAAAGAAGCCAGTCATGAAAGGTCACATATTGTGTGATTCCATTTTTATGAAATGTCCAGAACAGGCAAATCCGTGCAGACAGAAGCGAATTGGTGGTTGCCTGCCTAGAGATGGGGGGCTGGAGGGAAAATGGGGAGTAACTGCTAACAGATGCGGGGTTTCTTTTTGCTGTGATGAAAATGTTTTCAGTTGATTCTGGTGATGGCTGCGCAACTCTAAAAATATTAACAGTCATTGAATTGTACGTTGTAAATGGGTGAATTCTGTGGTATGTGAATTAATGATTAAGTTTTTAAAAAACTGTGGCGTCTTTTGCAGTGGTCTTACGAATATCTCCCTTCTTTTTCCAGTGAAATGTAAAATGGTTAAATTGCTGTTTTCTAAGGCTGGAGGATTCCTGGATTACTGGCGTAAACCTTAATAATGTTATTTTTAATCCACTTTGCCAATATTTCATTTTCTATTAACATTTAGTTCCTATGTTCATAGAAGAGACAGACCTATAGTTGCCTCAGCTTTGGCCAAGTTTTATATCCGCATTGTATTAATTCTAATCCTATTCCAAACTCTAACAATAGTCAAATGAGTTGACAAGTTTCCATGTCCTCTATACTGTGGAATAGTTTGGATAAGGATTATCTATTCTTTGACTATTTGCCTAACTTTGTAAAACTACCTTCTCTTTGTGCTTTTATAAAGGTGTGTTAGTAAGCAAATAGTACATGTGAGGTGGGTAGAGAGATAGTGAAATAATTTTAATTCCACGTTTTTAATTCTCCCTTGGTAAATGTTCACAATTCGTAGGTTCTAGACAATTAACCATTTTATCTAACTTTTTAAATTGGATGCAAAGTTGTTTTACAATTTTTAGAATTTGTATTTTTTTTGTTTTCTTTTTCTTATTTAATCCATTGGGTTGTTTTGTTAGATGTCTGGCTATTTCATTATTTTTTTCAAAGACCGGCCTTTAGATCGGTTGATAAATTCTTATTATTTTTGTTTATTCCACCTTCAATAGTGCATATTCTAATCTTTGTTATTTTCTCCCTTCTCCTATCTTTGCATTTTGTTTTCCAAGTACTTTCCATTAATTTTCATTCAGTTGATAGCAAAGTAATAAAAATTTCTCCTAAACTATCACTTCTAAGATTACAAAATTCTCCCAAAATGTCTTTATCCAAATGTGCAACACATTTATTGCAACTTTTGATATATTGTAACATGTTTCTACTATCTCACCCATTGTTTTCTACTTAGTGTCTCTCTCTCTCTCCCCCCTCTCCTTCTCTTCCTCTCCCTCCTATTTCTTCTTCTTCTTCTTCTTCCTCTTCCTCCTCCTCTTCCTCCTCTTCTTCTTCTGCCTCTTTCTTTTTTCTTCTTCTTCCTCCTCCTCCTCCTCCTTCTTCTTTCTCCCCTTATCCTCCACCCTCTTTTCCTCCTGTGATATGTAGAATTTTTAAATGTCATAATATTTTTCTAGTGCTTATAGGCAACACCATCTATTTCTCTTTTTTCCCAGTGGTTATTCATAAATTCTCATACATGTAATTAATACAGGTTTAACAGATTCTAAATTTAATTGGAATCTCTGTAACTCCAAATAGCACTGGAATTCTAGCACTTTTTCTCTACTTTCTTCCATCTTCCCATCCATACTTAGATTTACCCCTGTGCTTCATTAGTTTCTTTGCTCACGTTACTCCTGTTAGAGGCAGGATCTGCTAGAGGGGCAGAGGGGAAAGAGCACCCCAAAAAGGGAAGGAGGCTGCGGGAAGAAAGGGACCGTGAGTGAACAAAACATTTTATTTATTTCAGTTTTGTTTCCCACATGACCTCATAATAGCCTACGAATTGAATAAAAAAAGAAAAAAGGCAGGTGTTTGGGCCCTGTGTAATTTATTTTTAAATTCAACTTCAAAAATTGATAGAAATTTGTTTTCAGAAATCCTTCCTCTAAATTTATACCATCATTTCTTGTGATTCTCAAAGAATTGTAAGAACATAAAGGGAAAGCAATTTTACATATAAACGTAAGAAATATACTTACTCCCAAGATCTGTTTCAACAGTAGTTCTTGTTTTAATATACTTATGGCCATTATAAAATACTTCTGCATCACAACTATAAGCATGTTTGGGTTGAAGTTCCCTTAATTCCATTTGGTGATAAGGAAATGTCTGCTCGCCTGAAAGAAATAAGTATTGCATATGAGTATACTAATACAATACTTCAGACGTAAATCTTTTTTCTGACTTCATATTTATAATACTCTAGTTAATATCTATTAGATTGAAGATCTATGGAAATGATGAAAATAATAAGTCAACACAACTTTTACAAAAGTACTTGTTGAGTATCCCTTATCCAAAATGATTGGGACTGGAAGTGTTTTGGATTTCAGATTTTTTCAGATTTTGGAATATTTTCATCTACATAATGACATATCTTGGGGATGGGCCACAAGCCCAAACACAAAATTCACCTGTGCTTCATACACACAGTGTGAGGTAATGTTATTTTTCCCCTGGGGACACTGAGTAAACCCTGCGTTGTGTGCCTGCATTTTGACTGTGATCTGTCACATGAGGCCAGGTGTGAAATGTTCCACTTGTGGCATCATGTCAGTGCTCAAAATGTTCTGGATTTTGGAACATTTCAAATTTCAGATTTTCAGATTAGAAACGCTCAACCTGTATATAGAAAGTATAACTTAGTTTAAGAATATCCCTAATTTAACTGATGAAATGAGGCATTAGTTCATTAATCTCTGTTCAGAAACTGAGATTGTGCCTTAGCATTTGCCTAACAGATTTTCTAGACAGATCGTTTTTTTATCATCAGTCTGTCATATGCTGCTCTTGCTTTCCTCACACTACTTGCGTCAGAGGATGCATCTATGCTATGGTTATTACATGATGATACATGCCATTCTGCGTGTGCACGTGTGCACATGTGCACACACCTGTCTTGTCAAATATGACCTGGTAGATAGATGGCTTTATGCCAGGGGGTGGGAAATTCCATCTCATTAAATTCAAATACACCTAAAAAGAAATGCTATCTCAATTACTGGTCACCTGAATTCAAACCCAATCTTATTCCTAGAAGCACTTGCTGTTCTTTTTCTGCTTTCTCATTACCTAAGTGTTCTTGGACTTGTGTATGAATTTTGTTGCTGGAGGACTGACAAGGTAAACTCTTGAACCAAATAATCTTATATTTGTTTTCCTTTCTTTCTATCAGAATATGTGTACCATCATTCTTTCATAACACCCTCCTCTCATACTCTCTCCAACAATGCCTTGTGTATAACAATTGCCAACAGAATTCTTATAAATTAATAGACTTTTAATTTTTCAGTATTTATTTTTCAGGGGGAATGTTTATCTATTTTGTGAATTTGTTTGAATGGTATAGACAATACAATTATTTGAATCCAAATATACCACAGACCAAAAAAAAAAAAGAGAAGAAGGAAAAGAGACAGGAGGAGGCAGAGAGAGAGAGAATGAAACAATATCTAGAAGAGCTTCCTACCACAAAATAATTCTCTGATAAATGTTATATTCTTACCACATTTAAATCTGTATGTAATTTCATATTCATCACAATCCAAGGATCTGGTCATATCCCATTTTAAACAAATAGTAGTATTTGCTTTTTCTTTCTGCGTACAATCAAGTAATTGAAACTTTTCAGGCTCTGTCGAGAAGATGCAGAAATAGACTTCGTTAATATTTCACAATGTGTGCCATAGTCTCAATCAAAGTCACTGAAATTATATTAATTCACATAGAATTTGTCAAGCATTGAGATTGCTTTTGTAAAAGCCTAATAACTCTCAAGGTTCCGTGTTTTTTGATTATTTAGTTTATAATTTTTCAATACCATATATTTTGATGGTATTTCCCTTAGAATTTATGCTACTTTTAAAAATGAAACTCAAGCAAACATACAGATAAAATTGCAAATTTTACATATTTCAAAACGCTCATTTCATTTTATATTTTTGCTGTATCTTCAATTTTGTGTTTACTCATTGATTCTTAATTGAATAATATTATCCTTAGATTTTATTAGTAACATGTGAATGTGAATAAATTAATAATCCAGAATTATTAAAGGATGTGATATATTTTTTAAAATTACACAGCCTGTGAGTCCCTTTTCCAAAATGCATTTTGCTAAGAAACATTTCCGGGGAGTCTGCTTAACACCTTTCCTCCCTCCTCTTTCCCAGCGGTAGTTTAGTTGGCAAAACCAGCTTGATCTCATTAACGTAACTATAGTTTTCCCTTTTTTTGTGAGAGTATTTTGGTTCTTCCCATGAACATCAAATCCTCAACTTTATGTTTTTCCCTAATATATTCCAGACAAATTTGCACTAATAAATACATGCACATATATATTTAATAACTTCAATTAAGTAGAGGAGAAAAAAAGGCTTACAGAAAATCCCTTAGCAGGATAAACTGTATCTCATCTGCATTAACCTCCCTGTTAAAGAAGTAGGAGAGGTGACTAACGGATGTAAACAGAAGGCTTATATGACTTTATAATTTGTACTTGGTTGGGAGAGCAGAAAAGTTGGCCCACTTGTGTACAGTTGACTTCTTTTCCCTCAGCCCTGTTCTCTCACCAGACTAGTTCCTGTGGCTAGACCACGCCACACATGAAATCAGTTTTTGTAAGTATACAAATAGAAATAAACAGATTTACCTGGTGGTACATCTAATTCTAACTGTTTAGGTGGAGCACATGAATCATGACTTATAGAAACATTGACAGTATTACATTCTTTTAGGTCATGCAACTCCTTGTTTATACAATCAGGTACACATTTCACTTCATCTTTAACTTCTAGCTTTGCACTAAAAAATTTAGTTTTGTTGTTGTATAAGTAATCCACAGAGATGTCTGCATATTTTTCATCTGAAAGAAAATGAAACAGTGATGATTATCTCTTTTTTTCAAAATGAATAAAACTATATTAAATGCAAATGCCTTAACATATATTTTCAAAAATATCAAATCACTAACAAAATAACCCCAGGAACATAAAAAATAGAAGAAACACACCAGGTGCCTCCACATCATACTTTCATAATTTCCTTTACGAAAGGACCTCAGCTTGTAAATTTATATTTGGATGATCATTGTTAAATGTCTGTCTTCCTAACTGAACTGTAAATCCCACGAGAGCAAAATCCAGTCTATTTTGATTATTGCCATAAATCCAGGTCTATGCATAATATAGTATATGTCATTAATACGAATTCGATAATTACTTGCTGAATTGATGCACAAATGAACGATGCATCTGAAAATTTCTTCTTCCTCCTTTACAAGTTCCCTTGTTTTTTAAAATGTAGTTATTATCTGTTTCTCCAAATATGTGGACCGTTAATTTTTCAGAGACCACGGGCCCTCATTCATTCCTTTAATTATGTGAAATTATCATCCATAATGTGACCTCCTAAATACCTTTCTTTAGTGTCAACAATTTCTATTGACTGATAAAAATACCTTTTCAACCAATACTAATTTATTCACTCATTTTTATTCAATGAAAATTATTAAGCCCTGATTATGTTTAAGAAACAATCCCAGACACTAGGAATACAAAGGCAAGTCAGACAGGATCAGCGTTTAGAAACATGTAGTCCAATGTGGCGACAGACAGAGACAGGGATTGCAGGAGCTGTGCAGACACCTAAAATAAGATCGTTCACAAAATCATTTAGAGTGATGAGAGAGAGAGAGAGAGAGAGAGAGAGAGAGAGAGAGATCTATTCAGGTTGGAGGGATGGGGAGGATCTCCAGAGAAAGTGACCCAGTTTGTGTTTTAAAATATGAGCAGGAAATAGAAAAACAGACATGGGGGTGGGAAGAGTGTGTGTTCAGAAAACTGTAAGTGTATTACTTAAGTGAAGAGTGTAAGGAGGAGAGGGGATGGAGCCAGATTCTAAAAGACCATACTAATTAAACAAACATACGAAGGCCAATCTTTATACTAAACGTATGAAGGCAGTGAGTTTAGTGGTGAGATTTAGAAATAAATGGAGGGAAAAGTCCTGACCGTGAGGAAGGACTTTGTTTCCAATGAGAAGAGAGGAAGAAAATGGGAAAAGAATGGATTCAAACCATTCCCAAGCATCTGCTTTGAGCCAGCCCCTGGCAAGACAGAGAAAGGGAGACAGAGACAGACAGGCAGATGGCCAAAAACAGAGAGATTTCTCTTCTTGATACACTTTGAAGATATCCTCTTCATTTTACATTTACACTGAATCCTTGCCACCCCCCCCCCAAACAAACTTGCTATCATTCCGTTTTACAAATACCTGAACCGAAATTAAGTGGCTTCACCAAAGTTGTCTAGCTAGCAATTTTTAATCCTGGTACTGAAAACTGGGTCTGACTATGAAATCAAAGCTTCTTGCCACTGAGGATACTGGCTTTTAGGATTTGGAGCTAGTCATTGGTGAGAAATTAGAGCCAGTGAGTTTAGTTTGCTAGCGGGTCTTGAAAGCTTGCAATGAAGAAGGAAATAAGGGAAGTGCTATCCCACAGTGGTGTGTGCTGCCTCTAGTAATGAACTTACCACAGGGTGGCTTAGGTGTAGTAGTAGCTGTAATAGAGAAAAGAAAAAGAATGCAAATTATTAACATTTTGTTTTAGAATATCTGCTATGACATTTTGGGGAAAGGTGATTTACAACGTTTCAACTTTGTAAACTATACAGTTAGGTTTAACAGACAATGCAAAGTTTGCCTAGCCCAATATTTTAATCTTAAGACCTCACATGTTATACACTAATGAGCTAGTCCTATAAAACATTTTCATGAATTTACCCAATAAACCCAATTGTGATAATAATAATAGTATTGAGACTTCACACATCTGATTGTGGTGTGGAAACACGGCTGAATATTCACACAGCCAAAAATATTATAAAGGTCCTCATTCCCTTGGTTAATCTCAAAATAGATTTATATAATTATAATCCCCATAGAATGAAGTTTATACTTTAAAAAAAAACTAAGATGATAGGCAAGTGCTGCTTCATTCTCTAGTTTAATTTTTGTATGCTCTGTGCACACCAAGGGTAATAAACTGCTCTCTCAACAAATTGAGGAGCATCTTCTGTGAGTTTACGTATTCAGCTGAAGAACTAGGAGAAAATGTGCTTGGTGGAAACTAAGAGATCTCTGCCAATCTCGCTCATGACGTGGAAGAGTCTGAGGGAGCACGGCGGGCTTGCCGGCTCCTCCTCCTCCTCTCACTCATCCACAGATACCATCGCCATGGCCGGTCCCTCAACACCTCCTTTCCCCCTCCATGCCCCGTGCTGCTTGACCGGAACTCTGCAATCAGTCCTCTGCTACTTGCCGCTTGGAACAGAGAGCCCCTTTGATGGAATCCTTCTTTTCCATGCTAATACCTAACCCCACCCTTAGAAAAAGAAGTTCTAGTAGATTGGGTTATTTCTTGGACATGTTTTTGTAAAGCACACAGCTGCTGGGAGATGCTACTACAACAATACGAGCAGTGATGACAGTAACGTTATATCCTGATCTCATCAACTGTTGTGCTGCTAAGTGAAGAAATATCTAACTGCTGCTCCATGGCCCTGAGGATTAGAACACGTAACGGAACTTCTCAAAGAAAGAGGCCCAAGGTAGAGCAGGAGGAGGCCCCGTGTGGGCACATCCCCAGCACGGGGGTTGTATGGTTGCATGACTGAGGGTAAGGTTGTCACCTATTGTTGTGGTTGCAAGGACAGTGCTTGCTGCAGGGCTCAGAGTGGATGATGCAGTGGAGATAAGGTGGGAATCTGCAAGGAAATGAACAGAAGAAAAAATGTTAATGCGTTTGTCATATTGAAGGGCAAGGGAAAAAACTCTTGAGCGAGGGTAACTTCCTAACTGAATCTTTGCTTGGCTTTTTGATTTGACACTGGCTCATTTTTAGAAATCATAAAGTGAATCAAAGATCTATCTACAAATGGCCCTTGGAGATAACAATATCTCAAGTGATTCCAACTAAACACTGTATAAGTTGCAGGGAAACTTAATTCTTTGGTATAATTCTTACCTGATGTGGGATCTTCCTCAAACTACTCCATTCTCTTTCAATTACAACTCTCCTTATTTTGGACACTAATAGGGGTAACAATTAAGCTTGTGTTATAGTCACTGCACACCAGACTTTTTACATATTCAGTCCTCACATCAATCCTATGCAGTAAGTATTATGTCATTTTTACAGAAGGGAAAACTGATACTTAGAAAGTATTAGTAATTTGCTCTGTAATCAGCCAGGAAGTTGAAAATGTGGGACTTGACCCTGGGGCTATATGACATTAAAGTCTATTATCTATTTTTCTTTGCCACAAACTTCTATAATTTTTTTTTTGTTTTTTTGAAACAGAGTCTCGCTATGTCACCCTGGGTAGATTGCAGTGGAATCATAGTAGCTCACCGCAACCTCAAACTCCTGGGCTTAGACGATCCTCTTGCCTCTACCTCCCGAGTAGCTGGGACTACAGGTGCATGCCACGATGCCCAGCTAACTTTTCTATTTTTAGAAGAGACAGGGGTTTCACTCTTGCTCAGGCTGGTCTTGAACTCCTGAGCTCAAGCGATCCTCCTGCCTTGGCCTCCCAGAGTGCTAGCATTACAGGCATGAGCCACCATGCCCAGACCTGTATAATATTATTAATACAATAAAATATGTCTAGAAAAAACTTACTGGAAAGTTTCCTTTGCCTAATTTAGTATAAAGATGTAAAAATTTATAAAATAGGAAACCTGCAAATAATATTTGTCATGAAATAAAAAAGCTGCATTAAGGTTTTGAGTTTCCCTTCCCTGATCCACAGCTGAGGACTCCTAGAGCAGCGCAGTCGCACCTGGGGAGGCAGCTCTGGCGGCGGTGCTGGAGGTGCGTGTGGGTAAGGCAGCAGAGCTGTTGTGTGCAGGGCTGGGGGTGGCTACGGGTGCGAAAGCTGTGTCTTCGAGAAAGGTGCTGGCTGTACTCCTCTGTCCTGAGACACCTGCAATCAGAAGGGCCATGAGCACCATCACTCGTCCCTGCCACACAATGGCAGTGGCCAGACAGCCCACATCCACAGGATTACTGAAGCTAAGGCGGAGGAACAAGCATTCAAGCATTTCTGCTGGACCACAATATATGCATTTTATAAAACTGTACTAAAAACACCAAGGCTTATGAGAAAGATGCGTTTAGGGGCAGACAACTGGAAACCTATGCAGCTCAGTAATCAGAGCACAACTTTAAAAAACAGTTGGGGCTTCAGGAAATAGCTTGGACACCAAAGGAGACCAAGCCTCCTGGCTGAGGGCTGCCTTAGGCAATATTAAAAATGCATCAAGGCCTAGCAAGGGGCACTGTCTTGGTGGTGCTGAGACCACACAGGCGGAAGTGAAGCTCTGAGCGTAAAAGGCTGTCCCAAGGCTGGCGCAGGAGGAAGTGCAACCTGGTGCACGCCGCGAGCCTCGCACGCCTGCCCACGCCTCTCTGGGGAGGGGTCCCTGGGTGCAGGTGCTCAGTGTTAATTTTCTTAAAATAGAGCTGAGTGGCTTCTGCCCGTGCAGCAGCTGAGCTCAGAATTTTCTCCTTTCCAGCTGAAGGTTACAATTCTACTTTTGCTACACAAGGCTCTCCTTGCCAGGAGAGATCAAGTTGGCTTGGAACCAACAATCTCTACTTCGTACTGACATCACTCTCTTACTTTCCGATCACACTGAGCTAATGGGTATAGAATCTAGGGTTGGAACTGAAGAAACCGAGCATTGCCCTCATTGAGGTCTTTTCATTGTCAGGCTTCAAAGCACCTAATGCATTTTGCATCTTCCCCCAGACATCAAGCCCAGAATTACAGCACAAGCAACCAATGTCTATTCACTGGGTGCCCACTAGATGACCAGCACTGTGCTAGCTGCCATGGAAAAAGCAGGAGAAACACGAGTTAGCCTTTATTCGAGAGCTTGTTTGGTGATTTCACTGTCAAGATCCCTGGGGGCATCAGTGCGATGATATGAGGTTAGTCTCCCATTTGCAGTCAGATTCCGTGTTTCGGGGGGATGCACGCGTGCATGTCCTGAACGTGGCTTTGATGAAAGTGAGCGGGCACCTTCCCGGTACAAGCGAAGGACAGTCTGTAACCTCACACGTACATTCCGCCAGAACTGGAATCTCCTCCAAAGCTGAGTTTGGGTTCTGATTTCAGTCTTTAAAAGCCACTAAACCATAAAATTTAGCTAAACCATAGAACAGAATGAATAACCCTATTCTTCAGTTCTGGGTCCCCAGAGGAGGGCTCCAACAGAACAAGTACAAGAGTAGGAAGATCTGTTTATCCTTTAAGACATTCATTTCGACATAGAACCGGCCCTTCGCAGAGCTTTAAAGCAGCCAGGTTCATCTTTAGCCTTTGACACCTTCTTTTTTACTTTCTCTAGCTTGTTCTCCTCTCCCCCTCCCAAGCTGCAGCCCTCATGCCTTTCTGATGCTCCCACTCTCCCTCTCCCCAAATTCCCTACTTTCTCTTCTCATGTGAAATCTACTTGTCCCTTGTTGTGTATGTCACCTCAGTGATGGCTGAGGAGTGGCATTTACAATTTTAATTAGCGTGATTAATCCTAATAGACTTTCAATTAGTGGAATTAGCCACTGTAAGAGGGACAATTCCTTGATCAGGGCAGAGCAGACTACTTTGTGTGACAACCGGACCCCAAGGGCCAGTCCTCTTTCCTCAGTCTACAGCTTCTGCCCCCCACAACTTCTGAATCTCTGAATTCGCTGAAAGCTCCAAATCTTTTTCCTGCTGTTCCTTGGCAGCTGGAGTAAGTAGAACAAAGCAGGAGGTGGGGGCAGCTCTACTCCCAGTGAGTGGATTGCCTGGAATGATGTTTATGCCAAGGAACAATTTTAATACTTCAGAATAACAATTATTCTATTTGATACATTTGACTTCCATGTTTGACTCACACCTAAAGCAAGACCATTTTCCTGCTGGCCACCTAGGCCCACCTATTTCTATCTTAGCACTCAGGTTGCTGCATGTATATATGTGACTGTGTGGATTTGTGATCTGAGAAAGGACATAGTTGTTTTTCCTGCATAAGAAAAAAAAGGGCGCCATGAAGTGACTTAGATTCTGACTTTGGAAAGTCACGGGAGGGATTATTTTGCATCGTTATAAACTCAAGAGATGCTAAGCTGAAACATTCGTGATGTTTGCATGAGAAATATTAGCATCTATTCCTTCTTTCCTCATTCTTTAAATAGCAATTTCATTGTGGTTACAATGTCTCAGTGCTCTTCATTGATGCTAGGAGCCATCTACTCTCCACTGTTCTGTTTGTTGGTATGAAGTCTTTAAGTAAGATTTATGTATATTACTTTTATGACTAGCAAAAAGAAGTTTTCACTATACAATGATAATTGCTCAAAATATAAACGTATAGAGTATCCTCAATAACTCTTTCCCCCTTAGCAAATTTTTGCTGTAGTCTCACAATTTTCATTATTCTCTCATCTCCATTAAAAGGAACTTCATTACACGGTTTCATATCCTAAGAGTAACTATGAAATCCCAACCTCTACACACTGAACAAGTGTTTGGATTCCCTCACAGCATTCTTAATTAAACACAGACAGCTGTCATGTACTCTTCATATTTGCACAAGTCTGAAGGACCCGCAAACCTGAGGTGTGGTTCCTGCCCGGGGCAGGGGTGAGTGCGGCAAGGGCAGCCGTGCTGCTGAGTGCCTGCGTGCCAGCTCCGGCGGGGGTCGCCCGCGAGTCTGCGTGCGTGGAGAGGGGAGGCGTCTGTGCAGGTGTGACTCCTAAGGTGAGAAAGCGAGATCATCACATCAGTCTCCCCTGGCGGGTGGAGAACTTAACTACTAAGAGGTTCCGAGGGGCAAACTGCTATTGCAGTTCACCAAACTGTGAAGCGACTCCTTGTCTGCCAGCATTTACATTGGTTTGGCAGAAAGTGGCCCCTGAGCTCTCTATTTACACATTCCCGGGAGGCGCCCACCCTTAGCTGGAGGCAGCCGCAGAGGATTTATGTTTCCACATGGGTTTTTGGACTTCCGAATCATTATGAGTTGTTTTTTTGATTCCCCATCAACTCTACAAACTGACACTTGGGACGTTTCTTTGTAGGCAGAATAAGAAAGGGATCCTCCAATACATTAGTGTCTCTTACAAATCACAAAGAAGAAATTAAAAAAGGGACAAGAGATGTAACAGACATCTAATACATACAGTGGCCAAAAAGTTTATGAAAAGATGATTAACATTATCAAAAACATTTTTAAAAAGGTAAATCAACATGAAATCTTTTTTAACTATCGTGCTGGCAGAGTTTTAAAAGATTGGTAACATATAGTGTTGGAAAAGGTGTGGAAACATGGAAGCTGTCACACATATGTGTGCTCATACAACCACACACATACACATATACGCTCGCAAAATCATATGCCCAGAGCCTGGAGGATACACAATAATGGTTAAAAGGGTATCTTTAAGGAACAGGATTTAAGGAATGGTATTTTTATCGTACGTGTGTGTATGTAAAGTACATATAAAGTATATATACATATATACACACACATACACACATACATATTTCTATACTGATGTTTCACATTTATAAGCTATGTTTATAAAAATACTATTATGCATTTAAATTTAATGTTATGCATATGGATGCTTATTATAATCATTTTCAAAAAAAGAACAATTTTAGGTGGTGTATATAACATCGTTAGAAAAGTGGATTAAGAGATTTTTTTCCTAATTATGTCAGTAAGAAAAATTTTATTGCATTCCATAATATCAATCAATCTTAAACATAATTGAAACATATAGCCTTATGTCAGCAGACAACTGAAATAGCACCTGATAGCAAGATTATTTTCTAGAAAAGAAACTGTGCTCTTTTATTTGAAAGCAGGGAGCTCTGACCTGTCCGGGGCTGCGGGAGACCTCAGTGAGCAGAAGCTGGGAGAAGGATGCAAATGTGCAGATCGCAGGACACGAGAGCAACTTTCCCCTCTTGATTTTACTGGGCCGTTTCCTCTCCTCTCCCCAACAACATGCACGTATTACTTTCGTCAACCAATATTTCATAGACACTTAATATTTCCAACACTTGCATAAAATCAGATACTTAGAAACTGCACGTATAATTCAAAGAAAAACTGTTCTGACAACTTCAGAATTTACAAAAGACAGATTTTTCCCACTATCACTTCAATTAACATCTCTCTGCCAACCTGTCACATCAAGAGCACTAGCATTATCCAAAGGGTCCGGGGATACTTGGGTTGAAGCATTGCCTGGACTAGGAGGAGGTGTGGGCTCTGAGGAGTCACTTTCTCGTTCAGAGATGCTTGCAGGTGAGAGTGCAGGGGTGCGAGTAGGTAAGGGGCTGCCCGGAGACAGAGCACTGGGCTTCTCAGTTGCGTTCAGTCCTGTTATAATAAGAGGAGATGGAAGAAAAGAAAATAAATACGTCAATCATACCCTGAAACACAGGGTCATCTGAGTGGACTAGCTCCCCAGTGTGTGTGTGTGTGTGTGTGTGTGTGTGTGTGTGTATGCACCCACACACACAAATACACCATACATATGTGATATACGGTGTACATATATGTATATTGTGTATATATATTTGTAAGTGTATAGATACATATACACATGCATATATACATAGATGCATACAGAGATATATGTATAATATATAGAAATAGTCTACAGAAATGTCTTCAACTTCATGATAACAAAAGAAACACAAAGTAAGATACTAAAATAACATTTACCGCAGTTTAAGTTTACCCTAAAAAGAAGAAAAATGAAACAAGGCGGTAGTGAGAGAGGTACGTGAACAGTTGGTATGAGTATACAATGGTAACACCTTTCTTCAGGACAAATTAGCACCATGTACTAAAAGTCTTTAAATCATTTTATGCTCACTCTTTTACTGGAAAAAGTGTAGTTCTTTATAAAAGAATACAGAAATACACCAATTTTTTTTTTAAATCATGCAATCTCTGGATGTTGGGATTATAGAGTTGCAGTTTTTTTCTAAAGTTTCTACGTTTAATGTATATTTACTTCTTTGAATAGCAAAATGTATATTTTTATGTTTTTAAGTAATCAAAAGCTGAGTGATACCACAAAAAAAGTATTTTTTTTTTTTTGAGACAGAATTTCACTCTGTTACCGAGGCTAGAGTGCCGTGGCGTCAGCCTAGCTCACAGCAACCTCAAACTCCTGTACTCAAGCAATCCTACTGCCTCAGCCTCCCGAGTACCTGGGACTACAGACATGCGCCACCATGCCTGGCTAATTTTTTCTATATAGATTTTTAGTTGTCCAGATCATTTCTTTCTATTTTTTAGTAGAGATGGGGTCTCGCTCTTGCTCAGACTGGTCTCAAACTCCTGACCTTGAGCGATCCACCCGCCTCAGCCTCCCTGAGTGCTGGGATTACAGGCGTGAGCCACCGCGCCCGGCCAAAAAAGTATTTTAATTAATTCATTTCAACAAGATTGGGCAAAAGAAAGATTGGGAAGAAGGAAAGAATGGGAGAAACTAGAAAAGGAGTAGACATGGTAAGAAAGGAAAGAGTTAAGAACTAAAACTGAGATATTACTAAATATGGAATTAGGAAAATGGACATAGAAATGATACAAAGAAATCATTCATTCACTAATATCAAAGGTAAAGTGAATTTTTACTAAATACAGAGAAAAGCCAAGTGAATTACAGTGAACTGCACCAATGTCCAGGTGCATGAAATATTACAGAACTATTCTGTGACTACAAAAATCCAAAATGATAGTACAGTTGTTCTGTGTGTTATTTTCCAATGCAAAATTTCAATTTCTAGAATTTTATGATCCAATAACTCACGAATAAATCCATCTAGTAATAAACTATCACAATTACATGTCGATATATCCGACTAAGTCCAATGATACACAAGTAGCTCCCTCCAGTCTTAAATCAAGTCTAGCTTCAGTATTCTCTCATCTGATGTGCACTGAATAAAAGGAAAGGAGGGAGGGTGGGAGAAAAGAAAGGAGGAAGGTGGGGGACAGAAGGAAGGGAGGAACTAATAAAGGAAGAAAGAAAAGGAGGAGGGAGGGAGAGGAGGAGAGGGAGGAAGAAAGACTAGAAGGAAGCAGTTTAAAATTCTTTCCATTAATATTAATTCATTGCCATAATTATAGATTTGACAATTATTAATTTGTTATTTTTAAGTTAAACCAACTTTGGTGTTGGCAGAGTCCCAATGATCCCTTTTGCTTTGAGAGTAATGTACTTTCTCATCCACTCCCGCTGTTGATAGATTTGAATTACAAAGAATAGAAAGGAAATCACTCCAAATACCACATGTGATAGTGCTGTGCTATTTTGGAGAGTGCCATTCCTAAATGTTTCTCCTAGCCAAGCAAATGCAGTGCCAGGTGTATGAAGAAATTTGTCCAGAGAACTCCTTAATATCCTTGCACACATCTTAAACTCAGTGCACATTCCCTAGTTTCACAAATAAGAGTTTAGTTTTAGATTAGAAAACATGTTTCAATTGTCGATTCCACTTTGGAGATACTACTGGTTTCCACTGATTACACTGTTGTTTGCAATATTTGGGAAAGAACATTCTCATTTGCATTTTGCGTCACGATTTTAACTTACCTGGTTTCATCATTGGGAGGCTTGTTGTAATAGAGTTAGTGCAATAATAGAAACTCCCTCAATAATGTGATGAGTCACCTACCATTTTAAACATTCACTCCAGTTCTAACTCATACCCACCCCTCTCCTGCAAAAATAGCCAGCTGCTATGTTTGAGATGAACTTAATCTTCTCTAAAAGGTGGAGATGCCAAGTTGCATTTGAGTAGGTGGTATAGACAAATTATAATCTGCTATAACATAAAACTAATATTAGATCTTTTAAAAAATAAGATACTATGCTTTGATCATGTCCTATGCAGATTCAAGAGTATTTTTTGTTGGTGTTTTCATAGTACTTTGTTTCCATCATTTGGAAAAAATTTTATTTAATGACAAAAATAATTCCTTTAATAATTCAATTTTCAGAATTTGTCAAATGTGCCTCACTTAAAAATGTGTATTATAATTATTAAATCAGAATAGTCTTAGTGGCTTTACTTACCTTCTGAACACACACTCTCAAGCATATAATTAATCAGGAAATAAATAATAATACATTTTCAATAACAATAGCATTTGAGTGATGTGATTTATCTTTAACCATATGCAATTTAATTTTTCTCTCTTGTTTTGCATGTAATATGTATGAATTTGCAGCATCTTTATTGTTTAAATTTAATTTCTCTCAGGATTAACACATTTATTAAGACTAGTAATTCAATTATACCAGTAGAATTTGGAAATGGTTGTTACAAAATAACTTAATAGTATCATAGCTTTTGCATACTTTTGAAAAGGTAAATTGCTCTTGAATAATTTTATATATATATTATATATATGTGATTATCTATGTTTATACTTCTCTCTAATTTCTCAGATAATTTCTTAACTCACTTTTGGACTACAAAATTTTTCTAACTTAAATGTATGTATTTTTAGTGTTAATATATTCTAAGAGATTGGTATCCTGCCAAGCAATTTACTATCAAGTTTAGTAAAATTATTCTTTTTACATAATAATATATATACAAATATAATAATATGTTCAGGTAATTAATAAACTTTATGTCTTATAAGCATAAAGTTTAAAAACAATTGAATGTCAAGAATCATTCATGATTATAAAAATTCATCCTTAAAAATGATTTCATTGAATAATAATATAAAATTTTATCAACATTAAATATATAAACTTTGTAATAAATATTAATTCTTACCAGTAATGGGATTAGGTGAGGTTTGCCCTGCAAAGAGAAAAACAAAAATCTCTCAGAAAGTTTCAAATTTCATACATATGCATATAAATATATGTTAGATTTTTATATATACATCATCTCTACATTAGAACATTCACAAAGTGGCAATTTTCAGTACCTTTTACCCTAATAAAACTATATTCCCTCCCTTAATATCATCTTTCTAAAGCCCAAGTATGTCAAAACTATGCTATGACTTTTTCAACTCCCAGGCAAAATAAGAAAAGTAATAAACTAAAGGGGAACCATTGGGATTAATTTCAAGGCTGCAACAGTCTTTGGAAAGACTTTTGAAAAGATTTTTTTCCTAAATGCATTCATTTATTTAGATAGTGATTATTTATTGAGCACCTACTATGTGCTAAACATTATGCCACATGTTAGGGATATAATATGACCAATATATAGAAATTTGCTACCTTCCATGAGCTCACTTTAGTGCAACATATAGACCAAAACTAAAAATCCATATAGAGTGAGGACAGGTGAGACGGAACATGCTAGAGGAGCACACACGTCTTATTTAGACGGCCAGAGTTGGTGGCCAGCTGCTGGAGGAAGTGTTAGACTGGGTTTCTTGGATTCACTTAAACTATGACCTAAAGAATTACATACAACTAGCTTAGTCCTAAAGGAATAAAAATCTGGGATTTTTTTTTTACAGGCTTTAGAGAGCCATTAGAGGGATGTGTTTTAGGCAAACTCTGATGGAGAAGCATAAGAATTTTACATCAACCTTTCTGTGAAATGAAACCTGGATTACCAGAAGGCAAAGCAGGGGTCAGGAAAATCAGGAGACTAAAAGGACAGCAAATGAAAGAGATAACGTGCTACATGAGCAAAAATATGTCCCAAAAGAAAGTCGGGGGTTGGGGGAAAAGGTCCATGAAACACTCACAAGTCATTAAGACTGTGAATCTTTGGAAGTGAGGGGCCAGGGCAGAAAAGGTGATCAGGGAAACATTTAGATTGATGGCTTAACCATATTAGTGAGTTGTGGTGGGTGGATTGTGGAAACTTTCACTGAACTAAAGGAGAAATAAAAAGCAGGTGGGGAGAGCAGAATTTGATGTGCTTGAGATTCCATGTAAAAATGTTTAATACCATCTGGACGTGGAGGTTGGTAGCTCCTGGTAGACATCTGGCCTGAGGCCGTAGGTCAGTGTGTAGATGGAGACTGGACCTACGGAGGTGACGGCATCTCCAAGTTATATATTACAGAAGAGAAGTGTCCAAGACAGAATTCTGAAGTTCAATGAACATTAAGGAGAGGACCAGCAAAGGGTACGACATTTTCCAAGTAGGAGGGAGATCGAAGCCAACGAGAATTAAGAGTAGAGGGTGTTTCAAGAAGGAAATGATCAAAGTCAAATAATACAGGGATTAACATGGATCGACTGGATATATCATCTGTGTTTGCGAAATTGCTGGAAAGAGCAGATTTACCGGCGTGATGGGAGCTGGATTCAGTCTACAGTGAAGCAAGGCATTTTCATCCCCCGTCTTAGTAACTCACTGTTTAAAAGATTGTTCTTTTCCAAATGACAACAGAACAGGTTGTAAACGGAAATCAAGCACCATGTGGAAGAATAGGTTGTCTGGTATTTAAGTTACCTTCCTGCCTTAAGATTTTATTTTCTGAAAGCAAACTGATCTGAAAAATTTTCTCCCCTCAGAGACGCCATCCGAGGGGTAGAACACAGTCTTCTTCAATGCTTATTCCTTGAAGTAAAATGTATTTTATATATTTACGTGTGTGTATCTATATCTATATACATCTCACTTATGGGTGATATATAATCAATACATATTTTCTTATTGTCTCATTATATTCCTCTAGTTTTTCTTATTCATTTTTAAGTATTGTTTTTAAATTACATCATTTGCATTTTTGTTCCTCCTCTTGTTTAGTCAGCTTTTATCTTTCTATTCCATATAAACTATTTTTTTAATTTTCCTGTTAATAGCTTTCCCTCTCTTCTCATTTATTCTTATTTATTTCTAAGTTAAGTTCTTAGCATTGTATTGATTTGCAAAAGAAGGAGTAAGAAAAATAAAATATTAGTACAGCAGTAACAAATAACTCTTAGGTGTTAAATGAAAGGAAAAATATCCTTCATGGTCATTGTTTGTAAAGAATACAACCTATCACCAAATTTTAATATTCAAGTTGCTTTCAGTGTATGAACACATTGCATATGATATGCCTCTCTCCTTTATCTGAGAAATATATAAGCTCTGAAATCTCTAAAATTATTTTGATATGTCCCTTCTCCCATTAACACCTAGTTGCTTGGAACTCAAAACAAGTTAATTTGTTTCAGTTAGGTTCAAGAACTATTTATTGTTTTGCTGACACGCTATTAGATATTAGGATCAAATGTGGTGAAGGCACTGTCCTCACCCTGAAAAACCTTATAATCCGTAAGACATACGTATCCAGCAGTCTGCAAAGACACTTAAGTCCTGGATGTACCTGATTAAGACTAATAACTAAAATTCAGAGACCAGTAAGAATCCCAGAACATGATGAAGAGGAGGAGAAGGAAGAGCAGCAGCTGCACCTAATGGTCTTGCATAGAAGACGTGATCGATGAGTAATTGTTGGATGATTTTCTGAGTACAAGTAAACGCAAGAGAGAAATCAAACATCTGATGATAACAACTTTGGAAGAACAGCCAAGGAGAAAATATTCTAGGCCCTGACAAGGAGATTACAATTTTTCTCGAGCATAGTGGAAGACATTGGACCAACGAACACAAACAAGAAATCAACGTGATGACAAAAAAAAAAAAGGAATCTTAATGTCACCTGTACCAGCTCCACCAACAGTTGCAAAGGCCACTATATACCCTTGTACTCGATAGCTTGTTGCCACCAAAACATGTAAAACAGACGACATAGAAAATTTCCTAAAAGGAAGTTACAATTCATCATATATTCACGATAGAAATGAGACGAATGGTGAAACACTATGTGAAACTATTTCTTTTTTAACAAAAGAACTATGGGTACTAGAGTAAATGTGCTAGAAATGTTTCCAACCAATACACTGTTCATCAGACTACATATGTGTTACATGCATCAGAAAAATTAATTTAATTCCAGTTGTTGAATAGAAATGAATGTTTTTTAAAGGAAATACATGATGTATCGTATTTCAATCTAAATCTTGAAAAAGAGAAGAGGTAAATTACCAAAACAAAGAGGACAATTTCTAGAGACTTATTTTTTTAAAAGAATAATTCAGAAATGATATTTTATTAATTGCTAACATTTATTGAGTATTGAATGGGTGCCAGGCACTCTATCAAGACCTCTGCTTGTATTTTGTCTCTTAAGCATCACAACCACCCTAAGAGCTTAGAAAAGTCAAGTGCCTTGGCCAGGCTCACAGGGCCAGTGCGCGCGAGCCCAGGCTTGAACTGGAGCTGGCCGGGCCGGGCTCTCAACCCTCAGGCATCCCTCATGCCCATAGCCTTTCCTCTTCCTCTCAGCTTTTCAGCACGGAAGTTCTTTTAGCCAGTGTTTTAGGTTCCACAGAGAATGATGTTTGTTAAAAACTCATGAGCTAAGGAAAAAAGCACCTTAATCAGCGTTTGACTGCAGAATAAGTTACTGGTAGTGCTATAAATGCTACAATAAACTGAACCGTAAAAATGGATATTCAAATTAAATCATAATTTGCTGAGTAAATGCTCTATAATGGCACAGACAAATATTAGTGAAAATTCAGAGGTGTGTCAATTTAACTTACTACAGAATATTACTTTGTCAGGAAAGTCAACCAAACTACAGTAACGTCAAGTGAAAGTATAATTCACAGACTCCTTGTTCAGCTGTGAAGAGATTTCTGGAGCTAAGGAACAGAATAACGTACGTATACGTATTTTTTTTTTCCTCATCTAATCATGGCTCCATGTTCAACATTTCCCCAAATCCTGTAATCTTTAATGCAACAAAATTTAGCATCCCTGGAAAACAACACAATATCTAAAGATCCATTGTATTTTCCTTCTCTCTGTGGTCATACTTAATTCTGGTAAAGTCATCTCAAATTGAATATACATTTTATCTTACACCCATTCATCTCTGAATATGATTCTAAATTCCTGCACTGAGTGATTTTTAGGTTATATTAAAGCATTGTAATTTATGCTGTATTTCATTTTCTTTACATAGAATTTCAAATATGCACACACACATACACACACACACAGACCTTTTTATTTTTTTGAAAGAAAATTCCAAGACTTCAACATCACTGTTTAGAATCAGTGTAAGACTAAAATTGCTTGTTCTCATTGTCACAAAATCTCTATAAACAGATTTTCGGTGTCGGTAACACTTTTAGTCAACATGATAAATGACATAAAAATGTTTTAGCCACTGAAAAAGTCTTACACAATCACTCTAGAATAAAATTTTAAAATTGAAGGCCCACTCCAAAATTTAACCCAATGTTCCTGAGAAAAAATGCAGGCACTACAATGATGGAGCTTGAAGCAACACATATATTTCAACAAGCCGTATCTACTAAATTACATAAATTTAAATTTTTTTCATTAAAAAAAAATCAAACAATTTAACAAGTCTTAAAATAGGAACACAATAAAGGTGATCTACATGAAATAGCTTAGTAAAAAAAAAACAAAACTAAATAATGTCTAAAGGACATGCCATCCCACCTCCTCAAATCATCTAATGACTTTTACATAAATGTAGGCAGTACACTAACAAATACTTCTGTGGCTAGGACCTCTACACATAAAATAAGGTAGAAGGTAGATGAAGTTACTTAAATATTTGGAGGAAACTGTACTACCAAATGTCTGCAATAATTTATTAATGCCTCTATTACATTTTGTAATTCTTCCTAAATTATACAAGCGATGGCTTCCATTGCCCTGTTGCATTTCGTGTGTGCACACATTATCAGAACATTGCCAAAATCATAGGTAGAAGCAACTGTGCTGAATCCTTATGT